AAAAAGTAAGGGAGAAATCAATTGGGGGGGGGGAGGTTAAATATGGTAATAATCCAAATAATTTCTTAGTTTTAAGCCTACGACTAAACACCGTGCAAAATTTAGTCTTAGGCAATATATATTTATGGGAGGGGGGATTGCAATTTCAAAAATTCCACATTTCTCCAAGTCTTTATCACATTTTGGACTGTTAATACAATAAGGATTGAATTGATTATTGAAACATTTACCTTGAACATTAGGGTTTTTTTTTCATTTCATGTTCCCTCTTATTTACTTACATTTACGCTCCTTGATAGTATTGTTCGTATGATGATGTATAAGGTAGATATTTCAAATACTCAAAAACTTACACGTGTACACATTAATTCAACATTCCTCCCGTATTTTAAACCAACAATAACAGACTAACATAGTTATAAATCTATTGTTACTATAAATACAAATACGGCGTTATAACAGTATCGAAAATAAGTAATTTCCAACACAACCCTGGGCATTCCAATGTTGTATTTATCGACACATATACCTGCTGCTGTGGTTCTATATATCATTACTCTCCAGGGCTCGATGAATCCGTTTCATTGCTGCAACATTCTCTATTTTGCTTTGTTTTTATTTTTGTATCATAAAAATGTAAAGATAGGTAACGATAGATTTTTATATATTTTTCCTATCTGGTGTAGGCTACTTATGTTCCATTTGTGTATAACCGATAAAGAAGAAAGCACAACGCAATACACGAAAGTACATCTTTTGCAATTCTAATGTAGAAGGCGTCGAATGGAAACCAAACGTAATGTGCTGATTTTTAAGTAAAAAATCAATAGTTTATAATTAATATACTATTGAGTATAGTTTCACTATATACGTACTACCTTTAAAGCTTCTTAAAAAAAACACACTATCCATTAAGTTATAATCGCAAAAAGATAAAAAGAGCAACTAAATTGTACAATATTTTATACTACTGCTATCAGTATATTTAACATTCCTGGGACAGTTAAATATATCGAATAGTAATCAAGATAGAGCTTAAAACATGATTCAGTGATTTGCTGAGGACGGCCAGATAGGAGTAAGAAGAAAGACTGGCTGAAACACTTCCTGGAGACAAGTAGGGGATTCCATGGTTCCATTCTCTCGCTACCTAATCAAAGTCACTATAATATTCTTTTCACCACACTATGATGTTTTAGATATTTTACATACGTTAATTGGTGGCTGAAAGTTACGTTTTGCCACAGCTGTCATAGTCATTTAGGGACAGAGCAGATTTTTACATCCCTAGAGCCGCAAAGTCAGCTGCCCGCTTACTTTCTTAAAACATTAATGCATGTTAAATCTAAATCAGTATCCAAAGCATTGCAATAGAATTGTTTTATTGTAACCGCTGCCTAGCAACTATTTATTATTATTTTTGCTGATTCCTCAAATTATTTCTTCACATATCCTTAAAGTTGTAGTTCTGTTGACTGTTAGTGTGCATTATTATTGGGGTGAATAGTGGTAATAGGGTATAGTGTGGTTAAAAATAGCGTCCGTACCACGGACCGAAATGGTTTTGCAGCTCTCGAACTTAAAAACTATCTCGAGCCAGCAAAACCTCATTTTTGGCCCTAGGTACGAAATATATACTATTTCCCGTATCTCATTGTGTGTCTTAATTTATCGTCACAGACAAATGTCCAGAACAAGCATTTACAAAGAATAATTACAATAACAATAAATCTATATTTATAAATCTTACTTTAAAATGTTGATTCTTTCAATATAGATTGTGAAAGCCTGTCCCATCTTCAAAACCACGAGCTGGTCTCCATTTCTTCCTAGATTGTCTTAAACCATAAACACATGCTTGTCTCTCTTAAAATTGAACAAGTCAATCTGACTCTTATCCAATTTACAACCAGGCTGTAGGGTCTGCCTCATTTTTCAGATAGCCTCTCAGTCAATGCTCTTATCAGGGTCTGAAATTCGTTCAATATGATTCCACTGATGTTGTAAGGGGAGTGAAAGAGGCATTTCGGCGTTCAAAAGCTGACGTGTTTTCTTTTCTTCCTCGGTGGTTTTTAAGACATTTTCCTGAGGTTTGGAGACATATGATGGAGCATTGGTGTCTATGACACGAATATAAATAATGCTTCCCTTGTGTCTTCCATACTTCTCTAATTACAGGTACATTCAATTTCATTCTCAGCTAGGAGGGGCGACGTTTCCTGTGTCAATACATTCATAGTTATTTCACGTTTCAGTCTACAGAAAAACAAATCGAATATATTATCGATTTCTGTGTTTGTCTGTTGTCGGTAACATACACGTGCTTTCGTTCGTGTTTTATAAGAAAACGAGACCGCCGTTGTTAATGACACGTTTTTTCAATGTTCTAAATATTGTTGAATGGGTGCCTCTACTTATACGTTTCCTTTTCGTTGTGATTAAAATCAATTTAAGACGTGTACACACTTCATTTGGTACGATGTTTAACATATTTTATTCGCTGAAAATGAATTTGCGGATTTAATTGCACATAAAGGTTATCTGAGTTACATACATGACAATTGTTTAAGCCGCCATTTTCAATTTTTTAAATACACCCTATATAGGGCTCCACGCCACGGAGACGGTGGTACTTGGTTATAACCTACTACTGTAGTTGCTTTTCTAAATCTGTCCAGCTTATGTCACCCACCTGCCTTGAGAATGTTGACCTTGACGCTAGAAAGTATTAGGCCTACAACAGAAATCGAATAGAAACAAATTCCGAGGACTCTTCATTGCGTAATTATTATGAATATAGCTGAAACTTCCGAGTACCATTAAGGGAAAGTGAATATAAAATTAACATATAGCCATTGAATAATTGGATTTGGAAAACTTAGCTAATTAACTAAATTCATGAATGTTTCACTACATTGCCAACTACAGTAGATATCCATCAGTACAGCGACCCTTCTTTCCCAGAACATCTGGTCCTCTCGCGAGACATGCGACAAGGACAAACTCTATTATTAGGCCTATTTAAACCCGTTTAAGGTCAGTTTCCTATGTTTTCCCTTTAGTTCGTACTACGATTGTCTTTACAAGTAGTCTTTATAAGTACATCAGCTGGTCCAGAGGTTATGAGTTCAAATCCCGCCAATCGCCAACAGGTGACAATGTCGTAATCAGAAATCATAACTTCATTCTCATGCAAACTGTCAAACGTCATACAAAGTGATATCAACTAAACTAAACTTTTAGAACGATAAAAATAAAATACATGACATATCAATCGTACAACTACTGTAATAACATAAGTTCGCTCGTATTGTTCAGGTCGATTCTTTTGAACTTTTGCAGCCTAAACGTAAACCAAAATATATTGTATAGCTATCGGATATATTTATTTACAGAAGACCCCCTACAGTTCTCATCCGCTTAGGCCTACCACTGAAGGTTCAGAGGCAAAATGGGTATGATTAACATACTACAGATCTTTCCTTGGTGTAAATTAACAGCTTTATGGAAACGATGGTTTTCTTTGGTCTGCTAACATTGAAAATAGCTACTTTCTGTATTTATGTATTGATAAGACGTTATGAACATAATTTGATCAAATTTGGAAAATGCATTAGTTTCTTACAAAACTATTAACGTGTTAAAAAAAAAACACTTTTTTAACCCTTGCTGGTGCACCAAACCTAAGTAGGTACTCCTTAAACTAATTCTATTTAAATAAAAAATGTGATATTTTTAAGGAGACATTTTAGTGTAAATCCAATCAGGCAAATGGAGATTCGCTTAGTCTGCAGGTTTGCTATGGCGGGGGTATTTTAAATATATAAGATGCCCATATATTAAACACGGAAAAGGATATCAATGGGAAATATGAGCTATATTATCATGAAAGGTATCAGCCCAATCCGACCAGTGCTGTAGATAGTAGGTGTTTGAGCCCCAAACAAACACACAAACTGTCAGCTTTATAATATTAGTATGATGATATGATGTCATTATATGCCAAACATGGTTAACTGCTACGTCATTAAGACTAATCCTTGACCATTAATAAACTAATCAACCAATGGACTAATCTACTGCCTATTCATTGAATAGGTTCAACGTAGAGGGAAATTCATAAAAGGTTGGAATTTAGGAAAGGTTAGACACACGAATTTCACCAATATATTGTACCAAATTCTAATTATATTTTTTTAGACATTTTTTTCATTATTTGTAAAACTGTGTGACAATTTGTCTACCTTTCACCATTATGATCTCTACGATACTATTAAGTTATGAGATGTAAATACTCCCTAGGCTTTTTGTAAATGAAAATCGAATGAAAGGTGAATATGATATAAGATATGTGACTTGTGTAGCGTTGTTACTGAGACCAGGGCCATTCTTTAGCCCGGACCATTTAGTCTAATCAAATATAAGTCTAATCAAAAATCTTACCGGCATGACATATTAATTGCGACGTTGGTTGTTATGCCAATTTAAATGTACCCTTCTGAAGTACCTACTTAACCTGTACTTAGCTCTTTTATTTTTATGGTACAAAAAAGCGTAGAAAAGTATATCAATTTTATTTCGCAATTAAATCGTTGTTACATAGTTAAATATCCACACACACCTTCTCAGTTTTAAATATTTTGTCAACTTAATTAATAGCCTAACTGGAAAACGATCAAAACACTTAGAACGCAAAAACTATTTTTAAAACACAAAAAACATTGACCTCTGCAACAATGTTATCATTTTATGTACCAAATAATGACTAATTGACATTACAACATTGGCAGCGAAATATCTTCCTCTGTGGGTCCGAAGTGTCTTGACCTTTACGATAACGACAACCTTGAATCTTGAATGTTTTCAGGCAAAGCCTAATCACAATCGTATCATGGGGATTCCACGAATGTGGTTGGACGATTCCGTTGCGCCTGCGCTGCTGTGAGTCATAGTTTCGTCTAGCCGGTCGTCAAGTCAATGTAGACGTTGACGTTGACAACAATCAATGGGACAGCCCAGTATTGGTTGTAGAGGGGATGCTAGCCGTAGACGTATACGTACTGCCGTAGTGGTGGGAGTTGGATCTTACGATATAACCCGTCATTTCCACGGCCATTGTTACAGAAACAGTCACCAGTGAAACTGTAGCGAGTGGTGGATCAGTAAACATGGTAAGGATAACAGCTAATTTTAGGTTATTGTTTACCAGTACCGGTAGGTTTTGGTAGTGAATTAGGCACCCATGACCCTGCAGCGCGAAGGCTTTCATAAAGATAGGCAACAATAAGAAAGGCCAAAAATAAACATGATAACGAATTGTAAATAGTTTGTCATAGTAAATGCTGTACAAACGAATGAACGAATGATTGGCCTGTCGGTTGTTGTACTATTACTTAGAAATGTTAGGTAGTGTTTTGTTGGCGCTCGTTGAATGATAGACAGGCATTGTTGACGGTGGTGACCGGAAAAGAAAAACGTGCAAATATGTGTGGGTTTGAGTCCTTGGAGGCTAGTGGCTATCTTAGATTAATTTCTAACCACTCTGAAGAGTTATTTATCATCCTAAAATATAATTTTTTTATACCAAAGTGATTTTAATTTAAATACCTATACAGGGCGCTATGAGATCAGAATTTTTTCTTTGTGGTTTTGTAATAATGTTTTCCAAGGGAGTTCTTGGAGACTAACGGTTATCTTGGATTTGCTCACCATAAGAGCAATATTAATTTCAAACAGCCACTGAAGAGTTATTTTTACAACCTCAAAATATTCATTCGAAAGCCAAAAAGTGATTGAAATTTAAATATTCAGGGCACTATGAGATTAGAAATTGTCTATGTAGTTTTAGCGAATTTCCCTATAGGGAAGTAGCTATTACCGTAGGTCTCATGGTAAGACCTAGGCCCGGGACCGATTTACTTTTTCGTTTTGATGTCCCCAGAGGCCAAAAACACCATTCTTTCAAATTTTAATATATATCTATATATAGGGTTTATGGGGGGTTTTATGGGGTAAAAATAGGTTTTTCCCATTTGTGACCCTAAAAACACAAAATTTTACAATTTCTTTTCAAACCATTTTGTAGAGCTTAAACAAACAAATAATTTAGTATATTGAAGCGTTATTATGTGCCTAACTGTTACGGAGAAAATTCAAAAAAATTGCAATTTTAAAATTCCCATGTTATTCTTATGGAGAATAAGTCAACTGTTGTAGTTTGCTTGTTTGAACATATTTTGATCAAATTTGGAAAATACATTAATTTCTTACTAAACCACAGTACCTTTTAACATTTTATATAAAAAAACTTGTTTACCCCACTGTTGCAGCAAACCTAAGTACTCATTAAACTAATTCTGTTTAAATAGGGAATAAATGTGATATTTTTAACGAGACATTTTAGTTTAAATCCAATCAGGCAAATGGAAATTCGCTAAGTCTGCAGGTTTGCTGCGGCGGGGGTATTGTAATATGTTGAGAGTTTGCACAGCTAGGCTCGAAGGACTATTATTTTATTCGTCTTCACTTTAGGAATCTTCAATAGTCCCGGGTTTAGAGAATTCTTTTCGTTTTTCAGTTGATCACTTTTTTAGGTTAAAGAGATAATTTGATCATAAAATGCTATGAACTGTGAAAGTGAAATAGTTTAAAACATTTCAATGTAGTAAATAAATACTGTAATTACTTTTACACAGTGAAGACTAGTTGTTTTGCTACTCATTATTGAATTCAATAAGCCTAGTTATCATACTCTCAACTGGCCAACAATCGGACCTCAAAGCAAGATATTCCCTAGGAATTTTCCAAGATGATTAGTCTTTGGTTAATTGCTATTTTTGTTTTGTTGTTTCACAGTTCAGCAGATCTGGATGATATACATTAATGGCTATATAGAGTTAAATCACATGGTTAGGTAGTGCCAAAGTGCCATTTTTAAACATCATTTTGTAAACACTGATAACCAAATTAGAGAATTGTGATTTTTAATAGTTGGTTCAGTACAATAATACTTGTTAACCTATATTAATTTTGAGAATTTGTTGCTTTTAAAAGACAATTGGCTTTTTGCATTTACATAAATAAATTTACTATGGTAGTGTTCTAATATTTAGCAAAAAATTACTTAAAAATGTTTTAAATTTAAACAAGTGTACCCGTTGCTCAAATCAAGCAAATGCTGAGTATTAGATGAGTTATTTCAAAACAGAGTGAATTCGAAAAATAACTCTTTCAATGATTTTAATTAATTTATAAGATTTGACTTATTATAATATTAAGTACCTATCTTCTGGAAGTACACAATCAATATTAATAAAAGCTCTTTTTAAACAATATTTAGACTATTGTAAATAGTAAGTTTTCCAAAGAAATTTTTGTTTAGTGTCTCAGGTTGCAGGAAGTACAGGCTCAATTCAATTTCTCGTCGTATTCCCAAACATTTTGAAAAATTTAGACCGCTTCCCCTTTGTAAACTGTTCATCACTTATAATGCCACTGGCATAGACACTAAAAAAATCTGGAACAAATGTTTAACTTACTAAATGTTTCTATAAACTCTTTGTATTTTGTTGAAATTAAAATGAAATAATGATTTTCAGACTTTTCATTTTATGGTGCTATGCTCCCTGACGGCATGTGTCCTGGGCCAAGGATACTTGGGTTCTCAAGACCCTGGGGTACTTCCTGTATACAACCAGCCAGAACAGAGGATAGCCGACTCCCTCACACGGACCGGACCTCTAGACAACGCTTCTCAGGACCAGGTAGTGTAGAAAATAAAGAACATTTACTCCTCAGAGCTTTGAACATGGGTAAAACTACACAGTCCATTCCTATGGACATGTTGTGGCCAGTTTCAAAACCAAAATGAACACAGTTGAATTGGTGTGAGCTATATGCCAATGCACGGATTATTGATTTATATCAAATCAACTTTTTAACCAATCCAAACTGATAGGACAACTTCTTGTAAGATTACTTCTAACTATTAGCCTACTGTTACACAAACCAAGGGAGAAGAGAAAATAGTAGAATTTCAGACTGTATGTAATACCATAGACTAACCAACACAAGTAGACTTCTCATCCCATTGCAAATTTTGAAGCTCGTTTTTCGTGTCTAGTTCATGTACGTGACACAAAGGCGCTAGTGTCGATGAAACTTTGTTTCCATTATTTTAGGGTTAATTTCTTGATTTGTGCTTTACTGTTTGGTTATATAACTAGGGGACAAGTTATTGTTTATGATTAGATCGTATTATTTGGTTAAACGAGGTTTTAAATGGCTGTGATAACGGGAAACAAATTGTAAACAAAACACGACCTCTATATAAACCGTACATGAACTAACAATAAAATTGTCTTCAGCTGTTCCATAAGGATAAGAAATCTACTAAGGGAGTACCTATGTTTTATCCATGGTAATACTCTTTCAACTATCTCTACACAGCTGATCCATGTAGATAAGATGTCTACTTTAGTATTCAAAAGTCAATGATAAAATTAAGAACATTAACTCCTTAGTTAGGGTTATCTTCAGATAGTTCAGTTCCACTTCCCATCAAATTGTACAATCTAAAGCCTTTTTTAATGCTGTTTCAACTAAATGATTGCCTTCTATTATTAGAAAGATACAATTTGTTCTTACTGTTTGGCTATAGTACCAGTATGTAATATTTTGTTTATAATTATATTGTTTTATTTCCAAGAAACAAATAGTAAACAAAAATGTGCCCTCAACATAAACATATAAAACTAATCTTAAAACGATGTCCATGTGTTTCGTAAAGATGATAAATCCATTTGCAAGAGATCACAATATTTCATGCAGTAAAACTGTAACTGTAAGCCAAGTGCCTTGTATGAATACTATACTCCGTTCAAACAGCCGTGGCACCTGAGGGATTAGGATGCCCCAAGGGTCTCCATGGGGTCTCCTAATCCATCAGGTGCCACGGCTGTTTGAACGGAGTATAGCAGAGTAGGCTACCCGTTCTTTGTACGGGGTTGGCATAAGTATAGAATGCTTATTGCAGTTATGGGAGAGGACACGATTTAAGAAAATTTGGTTCTTTTAATATATACGGTATGCTATAGTATAGCACATCTACCATAGACATAATGTTCTAACACTGCACCTAAACCATAGAAAAAGATGAAGTTCTCATTGTGTACCACAGCTTTAGTTGCTAGTTGGTTCAAATTAGCTGTTGTCATAAATGCAAAAAAATAATAGTGCTGCACCCTGTTGGTAAACCTTATAACTTTTTAATGCTATTAATATCATAGAACCAACTTCAAAATTCTTTAATTCCTTTTAAATATGAATACTCATGAGGTTAACATGGGAAAATCCAGAGCCACTGTGGTGGAGCCCGAGAGGTTTTTGAGATAAGAATATGTCCATCCATGATAGTGTTCCTTTTGATGTACTACGGTACTACGTAAACTATCATACTATGGCATTGAAGATGGCACAATAAAAATTATTCAATCATATTTGTATGACAGAAAACAGTATGTATCAGTTAAAAATAAATGTTCTGCTATGAAACCTGTAGAGACCGGTGTCCCTCAGGGTTCTGTTTTAGGCCCTTTCTTTTTCTTAGTAGGCCTACATATAAACGCGACTTTGTCTCAAAATCCCAATATCCATTCAATAATTTATGCTGATGACACCACTTTACTAGCCAGTCACAAAAAATTAGAGTACCTGAATCAGGTCACTGTAGAAGCTGAAGAACAAGCTCTCGCTTGGTTTTCTTCAAATGGGCTACATTTTAATCTTGAAAAGACACAATATTTGACAATGCGAGCCTCAAGCAGGAAATTAGACTAGATTCTGTCAAGCTTTTAGGATTTCATATTGATTCAAAATTAAGTTGGTCAAATCATATTGAGGCGGTTTGCAAAAAGTTATCAAGAGTAGATTGCTTATTATGGAAATAAAAAAAAAAATTGTTAACCATGAATATTTGAGACTATCGTACTTTGGTCTGTTTCAGTCTCACATACTCTATGACATTCTAGTTTGGGGACATTCCCCTCATGTAGCTGATATTTTGACGATTCAAAAAAAGGCAGTTCGTAATATTGCTAATTCAAGATCCCTATCTCATTGTAAACCTCTTTTCATACAATTAAAAATTCCAACAGTAATTAATTTGTATGTTTTTCAAGTATTACTCTACACCAAGTAAAACTTGCATTCTTTCCCCCTTAGATATGACACTCATGAGTACAACACTAGGGGTGGAGGCAAGCTCAGGATGAAACCTCATAGACTGGCTAAAACGGGTGACTCCTTCAAAATCAACTCAATTTGCATTTTTAATAATCTACCTGACAGTGCAAAATTTGTTGATTATAATATTTTTTTTTAATATAATTTATAATTGGCTAATTCAAAATCCTTTTTACAGCATAAGTGACTTAATCAAGTGTAATTTTGATGTTAAATTTTAAATAAAATAAGTTATTATGCCTAATTAATTGTATTTTTTGTAACATTTTGATGTATCAGAAACTTGATTGTATTTAGATGATTATTTTGTAATGTACCGGTATATGACGTGTCCTATTTCTTTGTAAAAAGATCAATGGAATAAATTATTCTTATTCTATATGTTTATCGGGAATGTGAGCTATCGCTATCATCATACCAAATTTAAACCCTGTCGGTTTAGTATTTTCACTTTAACATCCATCCATCCGTCCATACATCCAAACTTTCTCACTTATAATATTAGTAGGATACTAAAACAAAATGAAATTTAAGGAGAGATGACAAATAATTGAAACACTTTAGTATTGAAAGAACAAAATTAAAATAAAACATAAACAACAAGTCAGCTGGACAGCTTGTTATCTAAAGACAGAAGCAGCAGATTAGTGGTAGAACCATAGCCACAAAAACTGTATATTAAAATACTATTACTAAAATTAACTGAATTCAATCCCTGATTAATTATTGAGTTAAATTAATTATGTTTTAGTCTGGAGCTGTAGAAGACCCTGAAGACAGTCAGACTACTCCTAGAGCTCCTACTTCTACAACTGTTATCCCTACTAGAAGAGGAGGACCTTCAAGGAGAACTCAAACTGGGGTACAGAGAACATCTCAAGATAGACTGCAAAATGTACCTCAAAGTGGACAACAAGACGGACTACAGAGTTTACCTCAAAATGGATTTCAGAGAATACCTCAAATTGAGCCACAAGACGGACTACAAAATGTACCTCAAAGTGGATTCCCAAGTGGATCACTAAATGGGCAACAAGATGGACTACAGAATGTACCTCAAAGTGGATTTCAAAGAACACCTCAAAACGGACTACAGAATGTACCTCAAAGTGGATTCCCTAGTGGATCGCAAAGTGGACAACAAGACGGACTACAGAATGTACCTCAAAGTGGATTTCAGAGAACACCACAAAACGGACTACAGAGTGTACCACAAAGTGGACTCCCAAGTGGATCGCAAAGTGGACAACAAAACGGACTACAGAATGTACCTCAAAGTGGATTTCAGAGAACACCACAAAACGGACTACAGAATGTACCACAAAGTGGATTCCCAAGTGGATCGCAAAGTGGACAACAAGACGGACTACAGAATGTACCACAAAGTGGATTCCCAAGTGGATCGCAAAATGGTTTTCAGAGGAGGCCTCAGAGTGATTTTCAAAATGTTCCTCAGAATGGATTTCCCAGTGGAACACAAAACGGATTCCAGGGGCGACCACAAAATGGATTTCCTAGAAGACCTCAAAATGGATTCCCAGGAAGGTCTGATGGATTTAACCCTGGATTTGACCACCCAGATCCTTTCCGATACATTCATCCGGAGTTTGGTTACAATCCTGATCATTATCATGGACACCCTGCATCTCAAAGGCACATCCCAGGACACCAGCGCAGGTTTTAGCACTGTTGGTTAGCTCAGTTATTTATTGACATAGTTTTTACTGCAGTACAAAATTAGGATTTTTTTTATTTTTGCAAATAAAAACAATTGTTTATACTTACTAGTTTATTTATTGGACACCACTTAATAAAATCGAATAAGTGTAAACTATGGCCGATGATTCTTGACGTTTCTCTTGAAATCAAATGAACTTGAAAGAAGAATTCTTAATTTTAGCTGGCAATGTTATGGTCCCATTATCATCCCATCTCTTAGATTTACACTTCCTGAAAACTTGCAATGTGTGAATAGATTTCTAAGAGGATATAGGAACCAACACAAATCAATTTGAGTATTTCAATGTATGGCTATAACCTGTTATTTAACACATTTTTTGAAAGAAAGTTTTACATTGGCTTTAAGCGGGTCAACTCAATTGTTTATCTAATCCCTCCTATGATTGCAGACCAAACAGACTTTTGGAATCACACTATAGATGCCGATAACCTTGTAACTGTTATGAATGTTGACAAAGTTGATGAGCTTAAATTTATCATTCAGTAAAACCCCTTATATCAGTGGTTTGAAAAATAAGATTGAAAATACAGTAGTCAGAAAAGCTAAAACAATAACACATTGTGTAAGACTGAAGAGATAAATGAATAGAATCTCACTTGATATAGAAATGTGGAAACAAAAGTGAAATGTGTTGAAACTATTTTCATCTAATTTGTATAACTGATTTTTACCAAACTTCGCAATTGGTACTGTATTGTAATAATCCATTTTGTGGTGAGACTCTAATCTACAGTAACTCATACACCTCATACACTAACTTGACACCTAGTAGCTCGATAGTGAACAGCTGACAGGGCGCACACAAAAAAGCCAGTTTCTGATGAAAAAATTGTTCCAAATACTACTTACTATTCTGACAAAAATTAAGTTGTACTTTTCTTAATAAAAATTTCAGAAATCTCAAAAAAAAAGGTAAAACGGGGCAGGAATATATTTTAACAAATGCAAAAGATAAAACACCCTTACAAACTTTTAGACTAATGAAATTGCGTCAGTTTGTTAAAAAAAGATAAGTTTGTTTTAAAACAGATTCATTGAAGTCGGGAGTCTATTTTGTTTGGACTGAAACTTGGGCAGTTTGTTTCTGAAGTAGTGTAGAAGTTGCTCACAGAAGCTAAAGAGATAGAAGTTTGAAAAGCTTAAGCATAAAGTAGAATCGTTTTGTTGAATCAGGAAATCTAATCCCTCTCACCCTTTGTATGATCTTGTTCATTTGTAAAGGTAAATTTGATTGACATAACAGTAAAAATAAACGGTATCAGCATTCTGACACATACTTTCTCCCATTAGTTTGTCAACAACCTTTATCATGTGTTAGCGGTGAGAGTAAATATACGGAAATGGGATTTATACAATTTTGTTCACAATTTAAAGGACTACATACTAAATTTTTATCAAAATCTTTCGGGCCATTTTTGTGAAAATCGGATTTTTCCGTGATTTTATGGGGTTTTATGGGGAAATAACATAATTTACAATAACTTTTGAACCATAATTTTTACAGAAATGGGATTTGTACCATTTTGTTCAGAATATAAAGGACTATAACATACAAAATTTGTATCAAAATCGTTCAGGCCGTTTTTGGGAAAATCCTATTTTTCCGCTTTTTTATGAGGTTTCATGGGAAAATTCCCATTAAAAATAAAAAAATTTTAAAAATGAAAAAACTATCAAAATTTTAAGGACTATAACATACTATGTTAAAATAAAACCGGATTTTTTTCTAAAATCCTATTTTTCGTTATTTTATGGAGTTTTTATGGGAAAATAACATAATTTACCATAACTTTTGAACCGTAATTTTTACAGAAATGGGATTTGTACCATTTTGTTCAGAATTTAAAGGGCCACAGCATACTACATTTTTATCAAAATCGTTCGGGCCATTTTCGAGAAAATCCGATTTTTCCGGTTTTTTATGGGTTTTTATGGGAAAATCCCCATTAAAAATCAAAATTTCAAAAAAATGAAAAAACGCCTGGAGATACCATGGATTAGAACCTACATACCAAATTTCATCGAAATCGGACCACAGGTGTAGTCCCTAGCTCTGTACACATCCAGACACACAGACACACACACACACAGACATCACTTTGAAAACCACTTTTTTGGGTCCAGGGGGACCCAAAACGGATATATCCACTCAAAACTCAAACTCGAAAATTTTGACGAAAACAATACTTTCTCCATATACTATGGTATAGGGGGAGAAAGTAAAAAGCAATAACAGTCTCTAGAAATGTTTAAATTTAAAACTGCATTATACATTTCAGGATGTATTTTAATTTGTTAATTGGAAGATGTCTGTGAGTACTTAATGAACAAAAATAAAAAGAGAAGAGCTACGCAGACATCTAAAAGAGAGTAAATGATGGTTTGTTCCTAAAGAATTAGGGACACAAATTTTGGTATAAGTCGGAAAGAACATAAGTGAATTGGTAAGGTCTAACAATTCTCAACTTATTTGAACAAGTGGTTATTGCTGTTTATGCATCTCTAATATATAACCCAATTTCAAATTCATTTGTAAATTTATTCATTTTCATTTTGATAAAATAACAAGTTTATAAATATATTTGTTTCATACTTTCAACATTCATATTACAGTTTCACACAATTTGGTAGGTACTGTAAAAGTAAAAAAATATAATGTTTGTTTATTGTATCAAATAAACATCAACCATTCACCAACATCAGTAGTCTAAATCATGACTCAATTTTCATTTGACACATAATCCAGCAGTGTTTTCCATTAATGCTTACAGCTTCAACATTAAAGGAACAATTACAATTATTGATATTTTAACTCAATTTCCTTAGCTCTGAAACGTGGTTCCCTTTCATCTCATCACATCACTCTCTTTCACAAGTAAAAAGATTAATGGTTTTTAAAGGGGGTTTTTGCAATAATTATTATTCATTTATTCATCCTCATACATTGTAAATATTTATGTATAGTATTATTTATTTATAAATATTATTTATATAGTATAAATAGGTGTCATAAATATGACACATACTTTTTAGACTAGCTTGTCAACAACCATGGACCATGGAGATAGTAGGAGAACTATCTATCTAAGTATGTAATTTGTCATGTACGATGTCATTTTTTGATCCTTGACCCAATCAAGGATCAAAAAAGAACCCTTGATTTTTGTGAATACTGAGCCTATTGAGCTTGTCACAAGTACAAAATTTCTTGGTCTAACAATAGATAATATCTTGGATTGGAATAAGCATGTAGACAACATTTTAGCTCAAATAAATTCTGGCATGTACGCACTAAGAAGAATGGCAGGGATGTGCAGTGAATCCACTCTTAAAATTATTTACCATTCATACATTAATTCACACATTTCATTTGGAATTTATCTGTATGGCTCATCTAAATTAGAAAATCTAGATAAAATACTTAAAGAACAAAAGAAAGCGATTAGAATAATAAAAAACCTACATCCAGGTACATCATGCAGGGAACATTTTAAAATGCTAAACATATTAACAGTTTATGGTCAGTTTATTTTAGACACTATTATGATATTTTTAAACAATAAGAAGGATACAATTTTAGAACAAGAAACACACCATTACAACACGCGAAAAAAGAATGAAATCATACCCACTCACCATAGACTTGAATTTTACACAAAGAAGCCGTCTTACAAAGGAGCAAGTTATTTCAGAAAATTGCCAAAAGAATTAAAGTGTCAAATAAACAGTTCCAAATTTAAACTAAAACTAAAAACTTACTTGGTTTGCAAAGTATTATATTCCATAGAAGAGTATATGAATAATTAAGCAAATGTTAATTTAAATAGCTAAGTTGACACTATTCAGATGTACTAACATGTACTTGTCTTGTACGAATAAAGATATTTTGATTTGATTTGATTTGATATATATTTAATATGCACATGGAAAGTTTGTTCCCGGTAAGGTATTTTATTTTAGGACTCACCCTCATATGTTATACATCAAAACACACATCTTGGTAAACAGATTTGCAAACTGGCTTTAGATTTTCGATTCATGCCATAAAATAAAACTCAAAAGAAATGCAAAAAAAAAACACTTAGTTTACATTTGTTTGTTTACTTTTAGCGAATTTCCCATATAGGGAATAAGCTATTACCGTAGTACTCATGGTAAGACCTGGACCCAGGACCGATTATCTTTTTTGTTTTGAGGTCCCCAGAGGCCAAAAACACCCTCCGTTCAAATTCATATATATATTTATTTATCTAAATTATATACAGCCGCTTGTGTAACTGACTCACTGGGGGATACAAATTCTAGACCACTTCTAGAAGTGCTAGAGAGTTGAAATTTGGCACGATTGTCGGTCTTGGTACCAAACCCCCGGGAAAATTCCAAAAAGTTGCATTTTTTATTTTAACCCCCCCTTATTCAAGAATTTCCCCCCCAATGCTATTCTTATGGGAAATAACATTGAAAATTGCCGACTTTGGTATGTTCATCTGAAACACTTAGAAACGTGCTAGAGCCTTGTAACTTGGTAGTATTGTAGTAAGAGATCTTACATTACCGGTGGAATATGCAAAAGTCCCATTTTCAAATTTTAACCCACCCAAAAATCCAAAATGGCGGACCTCTGAAAACGAAAAAACACGTTTTTTTTAACCGGATGTAGCTCGAAAACGGTAAGAGCTAGAAAAGATTTGAAAGAATCTTGGCGAAAGGAAATTAAATTGTCTACAAAACCCTCTTTGGCGTTTTCCGGAAATCGCACTCCTTAACCTTCAAAAAACGCCCTACTTTCAAAATTTAGTAAATTTCTTTCAAATTTTTTACGGTTTTCGCTATTTTTTCATATTTAAATAATTCTTTTTTGCAGATATTATTAGTGCTCTGTGTTTCCCTTGATTTACTTTAAATTTTACTCATTTAATGTTTTTTTGTATCTTTACTCCTTTAATGTCAAAATTTAAAGGTTTTTTACCACTTTTACAAGCCCCATGTTATTCTTATGGAGAATAACATTGAAAATTGTCGACTTTGGTGTGCTCATCTGAACCGTTTAGAAACGTGCTAGAGACTTGAAACTTTGTATTATTGTAGTATGGGATCTTATTTTAACGGTGAAATTAAAAACAAAAAACACGTTTTTTTTAACCGGATGTAGCTCGAAAACGGTAAGAGCTATAAAAGATTTGAAAGAATCTTAGCGAAAGGAAATTAAATTGTCTACAAAACCCTGTTAGGCGTTTTCCGAAAATCACACTCCTTCAGCTTCAACAAACGCCCTACTTTCAAAATTTGGTAAATTTCTTTCAAATTTTTACCAGTTTTTGCTATTTTTTCATACTTAAATAATTCCTTTTCGCAAATATTATTATTGCTTTGTATTCTCCTTACTTTATTTTAAATTTTACTCTTTACATGTTTTTTCGTTTACTCCCTGACCTCCAAAACTTAATTTTAATCTTAAAAATTGAAGGTTTTTTGCCACTTTTACGAGCCCACTTATGGAGAATAACATTGAAATATAATGACTTTGGTATGGTCATATGAATCGTTTAGAAACGTGCTAGAGACACATTTCGGTACTATTGTAGTAAGGGATCATAAGTTTATGGTGAATTTTGCAAAAGTCCCATTTTCAAATTTTAACCACCCCAAAAATCCAAAATGGCGGACCTCTAAAAACGACAAAACAAATTTTTTTCCTATCGTCTATAGCTCGAAAACGGTAAGAGATAGAAAAGATTTGAAAGGATTTTCATGAACGGGAATAAAATTTTCTACAAACCCCTATTAGGCGTTTTCCGAAAATCGCACTCTTTAACCTTCAAAAAACGCCCTACTTTCAAAATTTGGTAAATTTCATTAAATTTTTACCGGTTTTCGCCATTTTTTCATACTTAAATAATTTGTTTTTGCAAAAATTAATATTGCTTTGTATTCTCCTTACTTTACTTTAAATTTTACACAATTCGTGTTTTTTCGTAACTTTACTCCTTGGCCCCCAAAACTTAGGTTTAATGTCAAAATTTGAAAGTTTTTACGAGCCCCATGTTATTCTTATAAAGAATAACATTTACCCCATAAAAACCACCATAAATCCCCGTTCCAATCGTCCGTTCATGCTATAGATTTACTCTGGTTTACTTAAGGTTTTATTCTCCAATCGTATTTACAACCCCCCCCCCAATATTAAATCCCCCCCAATGTTATTCTTACAGGTGCATAATTCTAAATCACGTTTACCCATTTCTAGATTGACTGGATATCTGAAATTTGGCATGATGTATATCTTGCGCCCTTCCGAAAAGTGAAATTTTACAAATATAATTCCCCCCACCCCCACGAAATATAGAATCCCCCCAATGTTATTCCTACAGGTGCATCGGTCTAAATCAATTTTACCCACTTCTAGATTAGCTAAAGATCTGAAATTTGGCTCAAATGTAGGTCTTGCGCCATGGCCCATTTAAATTTACCCTCAACCAAAAAAGGGGGCCTGGGGGCGTCGTATTTTAAACCCCCCCCCCCAAATATTAAATCCTCTCCCCCTAATGTTATTCTTACAGGTGCATAAGTCTAAATCACGTTTGCCCATTTCTAGAGTAACTGGATATCTGAAATTTGGCATGATTGTTGATCTTGCGCCCTTTTCGATAAGTGAAATTTAACAAATATAATTCCCCCCCCCCCCACGAAAATTAGAATCCCGCCACAATGTTATTCCTACAGGTGCATCGGTCTAAATCAATTTTACCCACTTCTAGATTAGCTAAAGATCTGAAATTTGGCTCAATTGCAGGTCTTGCGCCATGGCCCATTTCTATTTACCCCCAACCAAAAAAGGGGGCCTGGGGGCGGAGCCCCCAGCGAGCCAAAGGCGAGTATATATATATATGTATGTCCGTTAGCGCGATAACTCGAGCAAAAATCATACGATTTTGATGAAATTTAGTAGCAACGTGTAAACCTACATTTATTCGAACGAGTTCCCGAACCAGCGTGATCGGACTATGGGAAACGAGATTTATGGGGGGTTTTTTGGGGTAAAAATAGGTTTTTCCCATTTTTGGCTCTAAAAAAACAAGTTTCACAATTTCTTTCCAGACCATTTTGTAGAGCTTAAAAAAGGAAATAATTTTATATATTGAAGCATTATTGTATGCCTAACAGTTACAGAGATAATTTAAAATACCCCCGCCGCAGCAAACCTGCAGACAAGCGAATTTCCATTTGACTGATTGTATTTACACTGAAATGTCTACTTAAAAATATAACATTTATTCTTGATTTAAATAGAATTAGTTTAACAAGTACTTAGGTTTGCTGCATCAGGGAGGGTAAAACTTTATTTTTTGTAAAATATGAATAGTTAGTAAGAAATAAAAACATTTTCCAAATTTGATCAAAATATGTTCACAAACAAGCAAACTACAACAGTTTACTTATTCTCCATTAGAATAACATGGGAATTTTAAATTTACAATTTTTTTGAATATTCTCCGTAACCATTAGGCGCATAATACCGCTTCAACATACTAAATTATTTGTTTTTTTAAGCTCTACAAAATGGTTAGGAAAGAAATTGCTAAATTTTATGTTTTTTAGGTCAAAAATGGGAAAAACCTATTTTTACCCCATAAAACCCCCCGTAAACCCCCGTTCCCATGGTCCAAACATGCTGGATCGCGAACTCGTTCAAATAAACGTACGTTTACACGTTTGTACCAAATTTCATCAAAATCGGATCATTTTTGCTCGAGTTATCGTGCTGACGGACACATATATATATATATATATAAATATATATATATATATATATATATGAATTTGAACGGATGGTGTTTTTGACCTCTAGGGACCTCAAAACGAAAAAAAAATCGGTCCCGCGTCCAGGTCTTACCATGAGTACTACGGTAATAGCTTATTCCCTATATGGGAAATTCGCTAAAAATGTAAAAACATTGAAAAAAAAAACACCTCAATATCTTCCCTGTATCAGCAAACCTAGGTACTTACTAAAATTAATGTTATTTAAATAGGAAATATATCTGAACATTTTTAGGGAATATTTTAGTAGAAATCCAGCTAGGTAAATGGAAATTTGCTTAGTCTGCAGGTTTGCTGCGGCGGGGGTATTCTAAGAATATTTACAATATTCAATTAACATGTTTATTGATTTATATATATATGGTACAATGAACAGTGTCAGTACTATTCTAACACTAATATTCAAAACTTTTGATTTGACTACTCTTATACAATTTTTGTTCTAAAACAGAGGTATTTAAGCTGTAAAAAGTTTAAAATAACTTATTGGATATCAAAAGCGGGTTTCCAGATTTCTTTTCACTCCTATCAAGTGAAGAGGCCACTTACTTTTTTGTAACGTTTCTTTTCAACTTTTCTGAAAGGCTAGCACAACAAATTCTCTTATCTTTTCACTAAAACCCCAGTAACACATTAATGTACACGACTGGAATGTGGATGTTCATTTTGTTTTGAAAATTCTTTTGATCCAAGGAAATCTTTCAGTTTTTGCAAAGAGAACCCCCATTTATGTATACAAAACCACAATAAAATATCATTAATATACAAGCGATAGGCCTACCAACCTATTTTTTTTCTTTTGTCAATTTACTACAAATTATAAAGTTACTTAACTGAACAGTGTGAATAGCTTTTAGGATTTCATTATTTTGAATTACATATTTACATTTAAATGTATGAAAATTCTTCCAATTTTTAATTGGCCAAAAGGCTGATCTTAGTTGTTGATAAAAGATGAGGTGGGATGTGATTTCAATCCAATCCACTCTCATCCTGCACTCATATTGAGTTACACAATACAAATGTTTAACTTTCAAAACAGTGTTGACTGAGCGCATTCGGCTGTTAGTAACTAGCCGAGGTCTATTTGTGTCAGCCATGACTGTTCTTTATATATTTTGAGACGTTTTAATAGTCTTGGATTTAAAAGATATTTATAAAACTTTGTTTTTGGACATTCTGATACTTCAGATGTCTTTAAAGACTTCCATTAATAAATTATTGAGTGGTAATGGAATGAAACACATACATTGTGCTCAGGTAATTTTATTACCGCCTTACGTTATCAGGTATAAGTAGACATTTTACACTAAATCATTTATTTGCTGTAACAGTGATTCCATTGTAGAAAACTCAAATGGTGAATGGAAAATGTACAACAGACACATGTCTACTATCACTAACACACTTTTATATTGCTGTTCACTAATAAGATAAAATTATTTTACATTAAAAACGTTGTTAATTTATGTGTAAACTATATTACATATTTTATGTTTCAATATTATGCCATACAAGGGCATCGTTGAAAATTGGGTTATTTAAATGGGATTTATTAAGTAAGTAATCAACTTGAACAAATAACTAATAAAAGTAAACAGAACTTGTATGTATTGTATTAAAATACAAATAGCTTACCGAATCAAAAATATAAAAAAGTTTATAACAATTCAGTTTAATTCAACTCTTTACACTTTATTTTATGAATTGATGGCAATTTTATGCTCTTAGTACAGGTTGAAATTGCAATTGATAACATAATGTTCAACAACATTCGATTGAGATTTTTGAATAAAAATTATAGCTTCTTATTGGGTGAATAAAAAATGCACTAGTTAACAAAAAGTGTATCACAGATTTGCTACCTAAGTAAATTGTAACAAAGTAGATCATAAATATAAAAATACTAGCACAGTATCCACTCTTTGTACGGGGTTGTCATATAAGTATAAAATGCTTATTGCAGTTATACTCGTGCTTAGCGTTTGCAATGGGAAAGGATAAGGTTTGAGAACATTTTGTTCTTTTATATTTACGGTATACTATAGCTCATCTACCACATCTACCATAGCCATACTAGAACCGACGTTTGACGTGAAGTACCGACCCATCACTTTTAGTAAGACAACAGTTTGAATTTAGTATTATTTATACAGTGTCTGAAAAGAGTACATAAACACATGTTTTTAAGTCAAATGTTTTATATCATTCTTAAATTGGGGACTGATTAAAGATAAAAGATCATAAGAGAATAACTGAAGCAGCATTAATATGATAAATACGAGAAAAGAAAATATTTTAATTAACTTTTTACTTGACAAATAGTTAGAAAATACTCAAAAAGTTAAAATACAAACTATATAAAAATAATCTACTAAACAGGAATTTCATATAGGCTAACTCAACTTTTATTTCTGTGCAGCAAAATAGCATAACATGTTTAACAAACAACTAACAAAAATATAAAACTTCAAAAAACTCTACAAATATGCAAAAATATCATACATATTACATAATATATATAACCACAACCTTGGCTCTATTTTATATGAAATATAATAATTTACTTATAAATATATGAGGAAGACATTTGAATACAATGCACACAAATTATGATGCATGCGGATAAGAAACTGCAGTTCCAATAAATTACAATTACATAGGCTAAATGTAAACGCAAGAATATCAAATCAATGCCTATGTTTTAGCTTTAGAGTTTTAGGATTAATTTAAGCTGTCGTGAGTTGGAATACTTCTTCTATGATTTATAAAAGTTAATGTAAATTTATTCAGTGTGTTCTTTGTTTTATCATAGATAAAACATACTCCCTTAGTAGATTTCCCATCCTTATAGAAGAGCTGAAGCCAATTTTACTGTTAGTTCTGTCCGGTGTACTGTAGAGTCGTGTTTTGTTTACGATTTGTTTCTTGCTATTTCAGTAATCTAAAACCTCTTTTAACCAAATAAAACTATCTAATCACAAACAATGACTTGTCCACCAGCTATATAACCACACAGTGAGGCAAAAATCATGCGAAACTAACCCTAAAATAATAGAAACAAATTGTAAACAAAACACGACTCTACATTACACTGGACAGAACTAACAACAAAATTGGCTTCAGCTGTTCTATAAGGATGGGAAATCTACTAAGGGAGTATTTTTTTATCTATGGTTTTATCATTAACTCAAAATAACAAATTGTATGTGTTAATATTTGTGGCACTATTTGAGTTTGTTTCAGAACCAAAACAAAACGTTTAAAATTATATCATTGGTAAAAATGCACCAAAAAGCCTTGTTTTCAATCAAATAATGTGTTAGCCATGAACAAATAATGCAAAAAATCAAATAATTGATATGATGCAATTGATTATCTTACCTAATAATACATGTTACAATATCTAAGTAACTACACAATTACTGAGTATTAGTATTTATTTAAATGTCTAAATATATTTTGACAATAAAAATTCCTATTTCTACTAATAAAGCTATAATTGGTACATGAAATATTTTAAAATGTTATTCAACATTAAACTTATTGACATGTTAACAAGGTGATGGTTGGGACAGAGAGTAGACCCTTATAACAAATCAAGATCAGTTATTATGTAACAAAATTGTTAAATAATTTAATTTCTAAATGACAAGCTATGGGATAACAATAAAGACAGAAAATGACCGTCTTTATAATTAAGAATATGGAAAGATCAAATTTTTGACCGAAATATGTTTACCGAATATCTAAACTAAATGTCAGGCGATACAGATGACAGACTTGGAATAAAATATTGACCTTTCTTTAGAAAAATGTTAACAACTTAAACTGAAAGCACTTAGAGAAAATCTTTTTAATATTTAGTTATTCCCAAAAAGTGTTAAGGTGAATTAAGTTATTTTAATCTCCAAATGTTTTAAGTCAATTTGATGTTTGGCACAGATTTAAGGTTAAATTCCATAATATTACAACTTGAACAAAAGTTTTTGCCAGTGCAAAGATGGTTAACTTAAAAGGTGGTGAATCCTAGGTCGGTTATGAGAGGTCTACTGTACCACCAAGTCAATGAACATAACATTCAACATACAGAACTGCCTCAGTGGTGTGTTTTGAGTTTTACTCTTCACAGAGTCATTACCTGAGATACACAACTGTTGGTTCAGTGCGCTATTGGAGGTCACTCGGTGGCGCAGTGCTGCTCCCTAGTGTCAGCGTACAGTCCTGCACTACGCAGCAGTTGCTGGTGTCTGTACACGTCCGGGGACTGCTGCGGTTGTTGTTGAGGCTGTTGTGGTTGGGAGAACTGCAGCTGACTGTACTGCAGTTGATCACATTGAGTGCTACTGTGTGTGTGTGTGTGGGTGTGGCTGTTGTGGCTGTGGTACCTGCAAGAGGAAATTTGTAAGAAGAGGACTCAGTAAGGGTTTTTTCACAAAAACTTTGGGAATTACTAGATACTGGATTTGAAAAAGGAAAAATATTGTTGATTCTATGCATCAACATGGAATCTTCTTCGGAAGGAATTAGCAGATAACCTTCTACATTCACTTCCAAAACCTTCTAATACTTCCCTGAAGAAGCCACCATGTAGGGAAGAAATATGAAATCAATTGTTTTGTGAACTTTTTTGTGTGTTTTGCATCTGTCCAAATCTACTTTCTCAGTCTATTACTTGTGGATCAATTTCTTCTTCTTTAATATATTCTAGGGATGGACGAGATTGGATTTTTAGTTCGAGACGAGACGAGACGAGATTTTTTATTTCTCATAAAATTTCGAGACGAGATCGAGACGGGATTTCCCTTCTCATACACAACGGGAAATGCACGTTCGGAATTTTTACCTGATTTTGTAACATTGTTAGATGACTGTTTAAATACAAAAATAATTATAATAGGCAAGAATATTTACAATCTTTTATTAAAAAACATCAGCATAACATTTTTTTATTAATCACGCCTAAATTATTAAAAATGCCTACGATTAGGAAACATAGTGATATCAGTTAGGATAGAGTTCAACTTATACTAAAATAAAATAAATCATAAAATATAATATTAATTTTTATAAAATAGTTACTTGTTTTGACTTTTTTTATAGTAATAAAACATTCCTCACACTGCTATCACTTAACAAAACTTCTCAAATGTAATTAAAATAATTAAAGTAATATTTACATTTGAAGAATTAATTAAATAAGAACGCCTTCGCAAAGGAAACGCAACTACAACACGCTCCTGTATTGCGGGTATTGCATTGACTTTCTGCAGGCGTTTTTAATTTTTTTTTTTTTTAATTCTCGTCTCGGTAAAAATCTCGGCCAAAAAGAAATCTCGTCTTGTGTAACGAGATTTAAAATTTCCCGAAATTTCGAGACTTGACCATCCCTAATATATTCCTAAACTGAGTGTTTTTTCCCTAAAAACTAAATATAATGTATGCCTAAGCAATGCACAAAGATTTTCTGTAAATTAAACTCTGGTTGACCTCCAATCAAGAAAAACTAGCTAGTTAACAAGGCAGGTGTGTGTTCTTTACTTCATCAAGCACTATCTCTCTGCCACTCTTAGTCGTTGCAGCTGATCTGATGAAAGGGAAAAATCTATTTTCCCGCTAGGAATGATTTGCGTTTTGAGATTATTCTGTGGAATGGAAATCATCCCCGATTGAAAACAATTGGTGGCTAACAGATATAAATGAAAAATAGAGTATAGATGAAAATAATGTGCGCAAGTAATTTAGGTGGTTTGCAGAATGTCATGATTCAGTCCGCCATTGTCCATCAGTTTTCATTGACTTGACAGTGATAAAAGTAGAAAAATGTCTACTTGCAGATTGGTAATTTTAAGACTGCAATGGTTTATCATGTCAGTTTTACAATCTTAAGTTCAGTCATATCATATTCCGCATGCAAAATTTCCTTTATTTTTTTAATTATAACTCAAACGGAACTGATAGGCATAGGTGTCCAGTTTCATTGTGCAAATGGTTGCAATCTTCACTTAACCCTCTCACTCCCTATGCACATTATTTAGACCAAAAAACTTTTCTCAATTTACATCCGTCAACTGGCAATGGATTTTAATTTTAATACAGGTTTCCATGACCATGAGAAATCTAATAATCCAACATCTTATTACAGCTAACAAAATATAATACAGATACAAAATAACACTACACTCTTCAATCTTATGGTTGAATTACACCAAGTTGTGTCCCCATCTTAATAGGGTAATACGTTAATATGATAACTCACATTGGTGGGGAGCCGAGTACATTAGTCTGTGCTGTAGCCATTCTAGACGGACCAGCTGAGCTGTTCACCGTTGTCTGCTCCATCGGACTCACCACCTCCGTCAATGTCTGTACAGTCTGGACCGACACCGTACCTTCGTCTTCTGGCTTCTTTGTTTCATCTTTTATCTGCACTTTTCTCTGTTTACCACCATTTTCTACCTGTAAATAAAGCACTGCGTTGACTTCACACTCATAAGATAAGCTTGGTTTTTCATTTCTCCTGGATTTTGGTTTAAAACTGTAATAATATTAAAAGTTAAGGAAAGAAAAAATTTTATCAACTCTTTTATTATCTTGCAACATAACACAAAATATACACATTTGTAAACATCTGCATACTACATCAATAATAAACCATCATATATTTTAATGCAAACTACAATGTATCTTAATCTTAGATGAGTTGGGAGCAAGGAAATGCAATAACCAACAAAAACTAAATTACCATATGACTTTTAGCAGAGGGTGTTCTATATAGGACCTATATTTTTGGTTTTCTAGATTTATGACCTAGTGCTTAAGGTGGGCTTTGAGCCACTGGGTTGTCAGGAAAATGCAATATAAAACAATCCCACTCACTTATTATTTATTTACGGTAATTTCTGTAACCCTAGCTGTTTGTGTGGTAGAGCAATGAGATACCTTAGGGATGGATTCTTTGCCAGTCAATTTAGTAAGTGTGTTAATTTTACCAAGGCTGCGTGATGGCCGGCCACTGCCGGGAGCGCGGACAGCTAATGCGCTGCGTGGATGAGTGCGCGAAAATGTTTGAATTTAGTTTCATCCAATAGGAGAGGCATAGCAGAGATAGCACGATTTGCATCCCAGTCGTTGTGGACGTACTTTTACAAAAACCCAATAGATAGCATCACTAAACAAAACTGCTAGCCGGCCCTCAGTATTGCAAATTGGAGGGGAAAAGCGGAGGCGAAGTTCCCCGATACACCATCAAAACATATTACAAAAGCAGGATCAAGCACAATTTTGAGGTTAGGTTCATTCCACAATGCTACAGTAGATTCAGTATCGTTATTCTATTCTAATTAATTAAATTTCTAAAATGCTACGACAGACGTGAAAATGAAAAACAACGACAAATGCAAAAATAAAGCCCCTGTGGAAAAATATGAATATCGGCGGTAACCTCGACCAACGCGAAATTAAAAACCCACTACCCCAACATGCACGCTAAGGCACAATATGCGTTTCCTTCTCAATAGATAAACACAATATAATCACGTCGATGACAAATGTCTCCGTTCGGAGGCATGCACACCCAGGCGGTGATACTGATGTCTCCGATCGGAGACATGCTGCAGTAAACGTGTTAAATGAGGCTTATAATTGGTTGCTATCCGAGCCTATTAAAAAGCTTAATAAAAAGATAGGTTTGGTTAATTTTGTTGGCCTAAAATATTAGTATTAGGGCGGTTAACTTAGGTAATGTCGTGGCAAGCAGTGGCGTAACTAGAACATGGCTTTGTGGGGGGGGATGGATGAGCTCAAAGTCTGCACTCATGCAGGGGGGCCAGTAAAGAAGGGGGGTCTGGGGAAAATTTTGGAACAATTAGAACTCCAAACTCGCGTTTTCAGGCATTCCAGAGGTGTAATCACGTTCAAAAGAACTCAAAAAATCAAACCAATCAAGGCTATTTCTGGATAGTCAATTCAAGGCTAGTTCTGGATTTAGATTCAGGAAGTAGTAGTTCTTTATTAAGAAGTACCACTATCGGTAAATACACGTTCTGGGTGATTCGCAACTTATTACAGTTTCTCCAAACAAACCTGCAAATTCTTACACAAATCTGTCAGTAAAGTCTGAGCAACTTTTCTCTTTGTCATTTTATTAAACAGTCCACAATGCACATTTATAGTTGAAAGTAAACAGTCTTTACCTACTACAGATTACAGAACTTAACTAGAACACAGAATAAACAACTAACCTAAAAGCCGTCTGGCATCTGCTTAGTGCTTACCACGCATGCCTGCAGTGTTACCACTACGACTTTCCAAATTTCCTCCCGCTGCCTGGGTGAATTCATTAAATAAACCTTTTAAAATTAGTTTACTATACTAATAAACTAACAATTAACAAATTAGATTAATAAAACCAAATCAAAACTAAATTATCAGTTTCAGTTATAAACTTCACGCAAGTATTTTAAAGAAGAAGGATTGCTTCGATACAATAATTTTAATATTTATTATCATTTTAGGGTTCTGGGGGGGAGGGTTCTATCACCCTCATAGTTACGCCACTGGTGGCAAGATAGGCGAGATTTGAATCAGACCAGCCACAACCCTATATTTTGATACTTTTACAATTCCAAAGATGGTGAAACACAGCCACCAAGTTAACCCAACAACAAATTCCAAGAAGAAAGATGTCAAAACTATTGCTAATATTATTCATTTAAATTTCTCTGCAGTCAGAGACCAGAGTTTACATGGTTTACAGAGTTGACTTTTATTAATGAAAGTGCACATAAAGAATATGATTCTGATGGTGTCACCTTGAGATGTATAAGCTCCATATGTCGTCTGAGGTTCCGCGATTGACGCAACGTCACTCCGCAGACAGTGCATTCAACAGGTAAATCTGATACTAGCTTCTTGGTCGATCCTAGAAAAATGTTATACTGATTTCTTATTTCAACACAGTATATTGTATAGAAATGTTTGGTAAAATATCATCACTAGGGCCTAGAGTAGCTCCTTTAAAAGTTAGACCATGGCAAAGCGGAGGTTAAAAAATTAGCATAGGTCGGAAAGGCTTTGTTTTGCCTAGGTGTATTGAACAAGTATTCCTGTTTACAGTTGTCATACAACATGGCATTTTGTTCACTACAATTTGTTTGCAAAACAGTCAATAATTTTTACTTTTCCTGCTACTTTGTTCTTTTTCTCACTCCAGATGACAACTAAACAAAACAAAATTAAAGCTAAGATTATTTCATTGGATATTAATTAACAATAAATAGCCCTTAAGTACCTACTTTAAATGAGTTCTTACACATGTAAAATGTAATGAATAAACAAAACATTTTTAAATTTTAAAACTCGATAATATCCTATTTTTATGACCCAATCTAGCTGGTCCTCAAACTCATTCAATTTTGTCCCGCTCTACACCTTCAAACCAAATTTTATCAAAATAGGACAAAACGGACACATAGTCTATATATATAACAATTTGAAAAAATAGTGTTTTTGGCCTCTGGGGACATCAAATTGAAAAATTAAATCGGTCCCGGGCCTAGGATTTACCGTGCCACCTACAGTAATGGCTACTTCCCTAAAGGTAAATTCGCTAATACTTCCTAGGTAAATTTGCAGACAAAATTTTTGGTTGAAAAGCAAAATAATTATTGATTTACGAAGATGATTACCAGTATGTAAATGGAGATGGTTTTTTTTTATGAATTTTGATGCGGTAATGACATTGTTTATCCATCTGTCTCAAAAACGCCTGCATAACCTCAATGTTATGAGGTGAACGTTTTTTGAACACAAAGGCTATTATTTTTTTAGAAGTCACTTGTCACATACCAAAAACTGTAGACAAAGTTTTTTTTTTGTTCAAAGTTTTTTAGCTCAATAAAATTTACGCACAAGGCAAGCCTTTGCACAAACATTTTTCTCTTGTTCAAAAAGTGTTACACTGCTCTCACTAGTTACACAATTAACTATTATCACAATGTACTACCATAGACAAATAGAATTAAATATAGACCATCAGCAGTGCTGCGGTTAGCATAAGTTCTGGCGTCTACCGCTGGAAGCGCCGTGTAGTTGCGGCGCACGAGATACATAACTACAAGGCGCTCGCAGCATGGCTTGCCAGAACGCTAACCGCAGTACTGCTGACAGTCTATATTTAATTCTATCTGTCTATGGTACTACTTTTTAAAATAACTAATTCTCAAAATAAATATAGGGCATATTGTTGAACTTCATGGTAGCTCTTCGAATTGCTTCCATCTTGTTTTGCTATGTAACACACCAGTTCATTTCAGGAACTTGTAGGCCTAGTCTATCCATTTTTATTTTATTCATTATTCAATATTTTTAATGCAGCCATGCACAGCTAGGTGTGTTTTTGAAGCTAAATGTGAATGAATAAACTATAGTCAGTGTCGATCAATCAAAAAGTATTTTTCTCTGTATGGAACCTCCATTCTTTTGACTATCAGGTGAGCACCATTTGACCACTCATTAGCCTATTTTTTATTTATATTTTAAGAAGGAAATCTGTTTAAGTAAAATAACCGAATTTGGAGGAGTTAAGAATCCTAACTAAGAATTCTATGAGCATTTATTTAAACCTTGCAAAATGTCTCCCTCAATTAAATAAAAGTAATGCCTATAAGCTACTACTGCATAAAAAACAAGTCCAATTAGTTTGTTAAATCAGCATTGGAATTATTTATCCTAATGGATGGGTATAATAGTAAATAACAATACAACTATATTTCTTTAATGTTTTGTTTAATAAAACTAAACATATCACCATGAATAGGCTTATCCAGTTAGCATATTTTTCTTCTAATGTTAAGTACAAAAATCTAGTATCGACTTAACCATAAATAAGCTTTTTTAAATAAATAACTTAAATGTATAAAATATTTTCCTATGTACAGCATTTTAAACTTAGAATTTTTTGCTTTGATAAATTTTGATTAAAATAATGTAGGAAAGACAGATAATTTGGATTTTACCAGGATTGTAATAAAAAATGTTACCAAGAGTTAAGTTGGCATTAAGGTAGGTAATTATTAACACTGGAAACACTCAAAGCCCTGAGCCATAATTTTACTATTAAATAAGAACATTTTACTCTCAAGCTTATTTGTTTATAAAATTTAATCTAAAACAATTTATAATCTAATCTATAAAACTATAAGGATTTAGTGGTGGATATGATAAGCAGATAGTGGCTTACCTTACAGATGAAACATAGAATTTTTAGAACTACCGACTCATACTTTTTGTAGAGTTTTTGTTTTTGTTGTACAGTAGGCTTTTCTTGTAATTACTTGGATACTGCATCGGTGGGTGACAAAGTCGGAAAAGATTGTTACTTATATATGAAAAAAAACTAAATCTGTACAAGGAGAACAGCCTATAACAAATACAAAGACTCTGCAACTCAGGAGTGCCCGGGGGGGGGGGGGGGCAGTGGCGCATGTGCATCACGGAGATTTTGGGGGGGGGGGATTCAAGGAGAGGGTTTTAGGGGGAATTTGATTAGAAATTTCACCTTGATTAGAAATTTCGCCATTAGGTAATAATTTATTAAGTTTTTTTGCGAGTAGCCCTAAAATGTTTTTGATTCATCACAACTTATAAACACCTGCAACATAATAATGGCTAATCATAATTAAAATTTAATTTGTACCTTCCTAACAACCTGACGTCCTCACGAATGCAGGGGAACATTAAGATATTGCAGCGATAACGGGAGGCGGTCATAATATCTTCGTTACCACGGAGGGAAGTCAAGATATTAACACAAGACAAATAATTCTATTTTCTTTATTCCCTTAGCGGCTACCTGGTTTTGCGTTTGTCTGATTGTGGCTATTTAGTTATTTTCTGGGTTGTGTGAAGAGACTGTCCCGAATGATCTATAATGAGCATGACTATTTCATCATTTTAAAATTACCCAACCATCTATCCTAACTATTGCATTGTCCTCAATTTTTTGCATTTCAATATGAATATTCCTAATTAACATTCTGCATTGAAAGTTTCCTGATTTTTATACTACGGTATTAATTTTTTTACTTTTGAAAACCCTTAACATTTTGGTTTTGGTGTGGGAGGGTCGCGTGGGGCTATTTTGGGGGTAGAGGGAGGGAGTATAGAAAGGGGCAGTTTGAAATGGGCTTTGCGTCCCTGACCTGGGGGGGGGGGGGGGCACCACTGCATCAACTTAAGAAAGAGCTAGCTGTTCCAAACTGACAGCTTGCACAAGTTCATACATACTTTCATATATTTCTATTTCCAACTTTCATCAGTAAGGTAAGCCTGCTTGTGCATCATACCCCCTATTTATCCTTACAACCTGGGTCCAAAAAAAACCTTAAAAATCTTAACAGATAACATCAAATTTAAAGAAGAGGTAATGTCAGTATGTTTGTTCAGAGTGACTGCAAAAATTACTGATTTGACGGGACTGGAAGGGAGAGCTAAACAAAGGTAAATCATGAACTTAGTCAACATTTAGGCAGCTCTAAGAATCCCAGAATTGGACTGGGAAAACAAATAAAGGTTAATTAACCACTATATTGTCTAACCAGTTCAGGGGCATGCCACAACAATGAGTACAATATTGTTCACTCTGAAACATTTTTTTATAAATTTATTATTGTTGATTTACATATAGCTTAAGTCATTACGTGGAAATAGATAATCAGTATAAATACTAAATAGTATACCTTAAATCAGTATAAATCAGTAGCCTATAAACAGTTCAAACAATAGCCTATGTGGATTAGACCACCTGAAGATGCTTTTGAGGCCGGATACCGACTGGAGTGCCATTAGTCACTTAAGTAAATAAATTACCGTCTTTACGGTTTCACATTCTGCAGTTCGCTGTATTCTAAGACTTGGCCGTCTTCCGAGTTCTCTCTCTGACCGAACTGTTCTGTGTAGTTCTCACTCTGTGTCACTTGTGTTGCGGGGGAGGCTTGGACTTCTGGGTATCTCGGCTCCGTCTGCTGTGGTGTGGACATCTGACACTCCAAGTAGTCTATGTGGTCGGGTGTGGGGCGACTGGTGCACGCTGTCAATAGATGTCTCCTCAGGTTACGGGCTTGACGTATCAGCAGTCCGCAGAGTGGGCAGGTCCTCGGCTGCTCTGAGGCACAACGAGACTTGCCTCCCAGGGGTGGGGGGTCTAAACATACAACACTAGTCACTCCCCACCCCTAGCACCATCACTACACTGCACTACACTACAGTACGACACAATCCACAACTGAAATAAATACCGTTTGAATACATGAAAATTTTATTTGTCTGTCTTTATCAATGCTCTTTTTGAGAGGGAACTCAATGCTTAATGACTTTATAATATACCAGTTAAGTACCACACTCTGTTCCCTTTTCGTTCAGTCGCTTAGCTTTTTCTACCTTTGTCAAAAGCATTTTGATGTTTTTTTTCTTATACTGTGGGTTGAGATGTTCTAATATAGGCTAATCTCGGGGAGCGAGCTGGTCTAGTGGTTAAAGCGCGGCACTCCGGTTCCTGGGGTCCCGGGTTCAAACCCCGCCAAATCACCAATGGTTTTTATCGAAGTGATATTGCCCTAGGTCTAGCCTGAAGTAATGTGAAAAACAATTCCGGGCTTGTGCCTAGCGTCATAGGACAATAAAATATATATAGTTATATATATACATACATATATATATATATAGGCTAATCTCGGTTTATAAGAAAGTGATTATTCCTCTTTCATCCCAGGTTATTTACCCTTCACATGCCACATGAACATTTTTCATTATTTTCTTAGATAGGCCTAGTAAATAAAAATGAGATAAGACAAAAATAAATGTTATACTGAAGTGTTAGAGTTTACAACCTATTTTTTCATTCCAACCTTAAAACAACAAAGGAAATTCACATTTTTCTTATTAGCCTAATTCAAACTCATTCGCTTTTCCAGTTTTCAATTAGCTATTTTATATTACTAAAACTCTACAAATATTTCAATACTTAAATTTAAAGAGGGTCTACCTGGTTCTCCGTTGCAATGCTGTTCATCAATGATTTCATCCTTCATAGAGTCATCACCCGAGTCTTGTATCGCAGATCCTTCCATAGTCTGTGATTCTACAGCGACATTGCCAACACTCACGTTCTATTGGAAAAACATAGATAACAATCATTTAAGAAAAATAGTCTTTCAGTCATAAAAAAACATATGTTTGCAAAACTTAGCTTTAACTGTCTGCCATTTTAAATTTTCAAGATGGTAGGAATTTGAAATACTGTACTTCTGATGACACTACAAGGGAAATACAAAATCTTATGGCCTGAAACAAGTTTGTGAACCTGTCCTATGAGTCGGATTAAGTTACTGTTCAACCAAAATTTATTACCACTTGTTCCAGTAAACTTAAATATTTTCCAGAATTCCAGCCAGTCATACGATGTGCACAAGAACAAGAAATAAAGCAGGAGATGATGGGGTTTCCGCTCACCGTCCAATGCGATTCTCGCTCTGTCTCACTTGCTCGATTTTGCCTGCGCTTCCTCTTGCGGTGAGGCAGCAATGGACTAGTCATGGATGTTTCTCGAGACATGGGTGCCATGGATGTGTCCCCCATCACTACCGGAACTGAGATCTGAGCCATGGTTTTCTGTACACATTGCAACATTAGCGAGATTTGCACACATTGCAACATTAGAGAGATCTGCACACATCTCTCTTTTTCCAGTTTGAAAAAAAGAAAAACAAAGTTAGGTAATGTAGCCTAGATTAATATTTAGGTCACTTTCAAAAAAAAGGGAAGGGTTCCATTACTTTTTGAAAAGGAATGTTGTTAGAACACTTTGCATGGGATGAGTCCATTAAACTAAAATTAAGGTGTATTATTGCAAGTGAATTTTGATAACCAAGAAAAAGTCCATGAATCGCACATTTTGTATGGAACTGGGAAATAGTCTCCAAGAGCCTTTGGCAATACATCTGTTCATTACAAACTTCTGTTGGTTCTCTTTTAAGGTAATAATGCAGTAAAAAGAACACAATCATGGACATGATCAAAGGTTACTGCGATTGTGGAAGCAAATTATTACTATTAGTCATAATAATAAACTATTCTAAATTTTCAAGAAATTTTACAACACTTCCGGCTAATTCGGACAATTAGGTAATCTGAATAGGGTCCGGTTCCAAAACCTTTTGATTAGTGAGGCTCTGGTGTGCTACAAACAACTTTCCTCACCAAGCTACTCTCAAATTGTGTATGAAACAGAGATCCTGAAACAAGGCGAGGAGAACTGTAAGGTGTTTTAAGCTAGGTCAATTAATCATTTACCCGCCTCTTTTCTCATCCACCAGACATAAGACACACAATGTTACAAATAAAAGTACTTGTATGTGAAATACACAAATAAGCTTTACACTTTACATGTTAAACACTGCTTAAAATCTACAGTATAATGAATTATCTAAAAACTTACTTCAGTTGTGAGTGTTTGAGGAGAGAGAGCCTGAATGTCGAGACAATGGGCAGCCTGAAGTAGTGATGGAAGTTGACTAGGGTCAACACTTACCTGCAATGAAATAGATTATTCCTTTATAAACTTACAAGTATAGGCTACTGTAGGCGAGCTATGTTAATGACCTTTGGTCAGCCCTCACAAGCTACAGGTGTTAATGTGTTTGCAAAGCACTCAGAAGCATATCGGGTTAATAAATTGGTAGCCATTGGTCGGTCAAGGCAGGGTGCTCGGAGAATTGCAGAGGTTAGGCGAGTTCTGTTGACACAGTCTTTGTGTTAGAATCTTTTAAGTAGTTTTATGAGGAGACGTTTTGAAGCTTCAATGACAGACCTAATTATTACCAGGTATTTTAATGCAAGTTAGTCTAGAAGATATAGGTGAGGTTTATTGGATTACACCAACTACTTCAATGGCTTTAACTCCAGAATACGAGAAATATATTGTTAATTCCTGCAGATATAAATTAATAAGCATTAGTCCACAGTTTTGGATGGAAAACTTGAATAAATCTGTACTCACACCACACAGTCAAACATTGGAGTTTTTTATAAGATCCAACATACCCCCTAACAAAGTGTCTGGCCAATAAGCAAGTTTGTTTTCCTACACTTATGAAGGATATACTTCATAAGTCACAACTATGTTGATATAATCACTATGACTATGACTATCTCAAAAGAGCGATTCAGTTACTGACCTCTCCCTGATACACAAACTGTAGAAGAGCTTCTAAATCAGGAGCAGTGATTCCTGCAAGCATAACAACTGGATGGTGGCAATGAGTGCTCTGAAACCAACCAATTGACAGTAGTTAACAACCTGAACTATAGTTAATGATGACAAATTGTATGTTATATAGGATAAAATTTTTATAAAGTAAGCCTAGTTTAATATTGGCTAAATAATTAAGATTATGAACATTCCACATGAATCTTTTGGCTATCATAATTATATTCTTTATCAAAATTACAATAGGCCTAGGGAATATTAGTGAATTAGAATTTCCCATATTAGGAAATAATTAGCAATTCCCCATATAGGGAATAAGCTATTACCAATCAAACCAACCAAAAGTTTGATTGTCTGGGGCAGTGCCTCGGCATCAAAAGATGTTTTTATCCTACAAAAATGTGCTGTCCGAACCTAGTTTAAACCTAATGTTATTCAAATAGATTTAATTAAAAAATCTAATCAGGCAAATTAAAATTCGCTTAGACTGCAGATTTGCTTTGGCAGGGGTATTATGTTTAGTGTGTTCCAACCAATAAAAATATTTCACCAGTAGAAAAGTTTTCTCAGTTTTCAGGGTGTCCAGCACACCATCAAAATAAAATTCAAGGACAACTCCAGATTTTCAGGTCCAAAGTTGAAAATTCCCAGGACTCAAAAACAATCTGCTCAAATTCTGCAGGACTCAAATTCTAGCTGCTCAAAAACAACGAAACTTATTTGTTTGTACGTTGTTTTTACTCTGAAACCCCTACCGGTAATGTGCATTCTGTGATAATTTCTTGCAATCACGACCACATCAGTGATCATAGTGTAAGTTGATCCCATATAGGCTAGGGATTAACTCAACGGCCCTATGTCTCGGTCGTTGAAAAATTTGTGATTATCCAGCAATAGCGAAAATATCAGAGATGATTTCCTGCAATCCCAGCAATTCTGTGATCATTACTTGCAATCGCAGTCAAATCCGTTATAATTTCTCGCCATCATGGCAACACTCGTAGCCTATAATGTATTTTGATCGTGGCAGTTACTGTGTTAATATACAATTGATGAGTTCACACAGTAGCAGCATTATCCACGATTGTCTCCAGCAATTATTTAGACAACTGTGACTATTTTTTGGAAGCTCGGCCATCCATCTAATATCGTCTAACTTTAAATGGCGGTAAAATTTGTGATGATTTCTTGTGATAGCAGAAACGCTACAATTACAGAAACGTTGTTAACGTCTCACATGTTTGCGGTAAAATCTGTGCAAGTTTCTCACAATCACGGCAATATCCACAACCAACTCCAACAATTATCTCAAAACCTGTGACTGTTTTTTGAATAACTTCTTGATCAGCATTTTACGTGTTATTAAATTTACGGATTTTTATAAGTATTTTAATTTTTATAAGTACAACTGGAATCGTAATTTACTTGTTCATTAAATAAGTTGATTAATGATGAACAAGTAAATTTTGATTCCAGTTGTACTTATAAAGTGTATAAGTAGGCCGGTGCTTCCAGTAGCCAATAGGGTATAAGTAGGGACGCCATTCAAGATTCTTGTCATTCGCCTATTGGGTCTGATGATGATAGGAGTGTCCATATCGAAATCGATCACCACTTACCATCTTTTTTGTATATTTACCGTCTTGTGAGTAACAGTATAAGCGTAAATATATGTTTTAAGTGTTATAAGACGTTTCTTTTATTTACTTTCTGTACTATTTTTTGCGATCACGGCAACATACGTTATTTGGGAAAGTTTCCCGCAATAATGATTTCCAACCATGCAAAAGAAGATAGATCGGTGATTTCAGGTGGATTTTTCTGTAATTATTGAAACATTTAAATTTTCTGGTTTTTTACAAAACTCAGGTACAATTCACGGATCTTCAAGGGTCGTCAAGATCAAAGTGACGCAGTCTATCCAGCTTATGCTGGTATTAAGCCTAGGAGGAGGTAGGCTAAGAAGGTAATGAGGTACCTATCAGAGAGGGTGAAACATAACTTATAGGCTACATACAGGGTGTCTAGTTTATTTCCATTATAAAATTCAAGACTAATTCCAGACTTTTCAAGACTAATTCCAGATTTTTCCAAGACTAGTTTTTTCAACAATAATTAGTGAGTGTTGATACCAAAATGTATCGATTCTCAATTCTTGATACCGATACCAATTTTTATAGCTTAACCAAATTTTCTTCTAAATTATACTACACCAACCCCTGTCTTTGTGATAAAGTAGTATTATGATAATGTGGTGTTTTCAAATAAAGAAATAATGCAGCGATAACAAATTCTAACTAGCAAATTTGGTTTTTTATCATTAAATTTTCCGCGTACCGTACGTTTAGACATCATCATTACCTCAGTAAAGCTTTTGACTCCATTTCTCATGAGTTGTTACTTTTAAAGCTCAGTAGTAGTAGTGGACTAAATAGTACTGCATTGAACTGGTTCAAGTCATATCTTTCTGATAGAAAACAATACGTGGAACTGAGTCACTGTAATGATAAAAATTATAAAATTTCTTACAATTCTTGTACTCGGGAAGTTAAATATGGGGTTCCCCAAGGATCGATCCTAGGCCCTCTTTTATTCATCTTTTACTTGAGAAATTTTCCCCAACTAAGTGTTTTGAGCAAGCTTTGCCTATATGCTGATGATGCAAATTTAAAAATAGCCGCAGAAATGTATGCTGAACTTGAAGCCAAGGCCAATTCTGATATATTATTACTTAACAGTTTTTTTAACTCAAATAATTTGCGTTTGAACACAGATAAAACTAATTTTATGTGCTTTCAAGCAGGGAAAACTAAACTGCAAAATCTGCCAAAAATTGTAGTTAATAACAACACAATTCAAAATAAAGAACACATCAAATTCTTAGGATTAGAAATTGATGAAAATTTGAAGTGGAACCATCATATTGACAAGTTACTTTCTAAAATTTCATCTGGCCTATATGCGTTAACAAGATTAAAACCCCTATGTGATAAGGAAACATTAAAAATTATATATTTTTCATACATACATTCAATCATATCATTTGGAGTTTCACTTTATGGTGCAGCAAAGAAGAAAAAATTAAAATCAATTATAAAAAAACAAAAAAAAGCTATTAGAATTTTATGCAATTTAAAACGTAGAACTTCAGTCAAAGAACATTTCAAAACTGAAAATATTATGACTGTTTATGGAATGTATGTCTATGAAACAGTATTATCAGTAAAAGACAGATTTGATGAATTACAACTTATTGGAGACTACCACAATTACTTTACTAGAAATCGAGAGAATCTGGCCACTAGCTCTCATACTCTGCAACTTTTCACGAAAACACCTAAGTATGCCGGTTCAAAATTTTATAATAAACTTCCTAAAGAAATCAAATTGGAAACCTCAAAAAATAAATTTAAATCAAAATTGAAAAAGTTTCTTATCAACAAGGCTATGTACTCCTTTGAAGAGTTTTAGTTCCATAAGTTATATTGCTTTATTTCATAAGTTAAAACTTTTGGTTTTAAAATAATTTTATCTATTATTTTAATTTTGATATTTTCATGTTTAAACTTTTATATTGCACTGCTTGTTTTACTTTATTTGGGCTGAAAGAATGTTCATATGGATGGTATGTTGTTACGCCATGCTTGATAGTTATGAGTATTTTAGTTAAGTTAGATTTGTTAAATTACTCTTGACGCCATTCCTGTATCTATGTATTGTACTTTAATGAATAAAGTTATATGAAATGAAATGAAATGAAATCATTGACTGCAGCGGTTACAGAAACGTGATCGTCACCGTCCGCGATCACGGCAAAATCATGAACATTCGCGGCCTTGTAGACATCGACATCATCGTCGTCTCCCGCGGTCTCAGAAACGTCATCGTCATCGTCCGCGATCGCGGCAAAATCATGAACATTTCCCGGGGCTGTTTAGACATCACTGTCATTTCCCGCGGTCATGGAAACGTCATCGTCGTCGTCCGCTATCGCGAACAAATCATGAACATTTCCCGCGACCGAGCAGATATCATCGTCGTCTCTCGCGGTCACGGAAACGTCATGATCATCTCCCACGGTCACGGAAACGTCATCGTCGTCTTCCGCGATCGCGGCAAAATCGTCAGAACATTTCCCTCGGCCGTGTAAACATCATCGTCGTCTCCCACGGTCGCCGAAACGTCATCGTCGTCTCCCGCGGTCACGGAAACGTCATCACTGTCGCCCGCGATAGCGACAAAAAAATGAAAATTTCCTGCGGCCGTGTAGACATCATCATTGACTCCCACGGTCACGGAAACGTCATCGTCATCTTCCGCGGCCACGGAAATGTCATCGTCGTCTTCCACGGCCACGGAAACGTCATCGTCGTCGTCCACTATTGCGGCAAAATCGTGAACATTTCCCGAGGCCGTGTTGACATCATCATCATTGGGTTTCGCTGTTACGTAAACGCAAGACGACGATCGCGGCAAAATCATGAAAATTCCCGACTTTGAAATAAAATTTAAGACTAAATCCCGACTTTTCAAGACCATTTTGAAATTCAATACTAATTCCCGACTTTCCCGATTTTCCCGACTACTAGACACCCTGTACATAGTTGACAAGAACGTGTCAATTGCAAAGTAAATGTCTTAAATTTCTTCAAAACAAAGAATAAGAACTATAAGTTAAGACCTGTCTTGGTGCACGCAAGAAATCTTTCACTAGGCTACGGTACATTAGTAGATTATACCTTCAACAGTTCCATGAGCAAAGGACTAGCAGCACTCAACACTAGCTTGTGGGCTGGGAATATTCTTCCTCCTGCTGCCAAAGTCACATCTACCATCTCTCCATGACCTCGAAGAATCTGTACTGTAGATGTAAGTGATGTTCCAAACTCTCCCCATGACAGGCTGTATAACTGTTGGCTACCCATTTAACTGGACAGAATAGGTTAAACATATTAATCATCGTATACACTTTATGTTATTTGTTAAACAAATAAAGCAAGAAAGCCATAAGCCTTATCATTCTCCAATCGCCATGACGGATCTCGAGCTCAATAAATAAGTTCTATAAAGCTTGGTAGGCTAAATTTAAAATCATTAAATTTACTAGACTGGCCCAAGAAACATTTACGTCAAGTTAAATGAAGATTTGAAACAAATTTTTACTGTACTGGAAACAATGGAAATACCGGTACAAAATATGTACAGTAGCTAATAAGTTAACACTTGTAACATATATAGGTCTACACATAATGTTGACTCACAAGGCGGTAAATACATACAGGCGAATGTGATGAACCCAATGGGCACCTACTGGGTCTGATGATGATTATTCAATCGAAATCGATCACCACTTATCATCTTTTATAAGTAATTACTGAAATCGGATATCAGAAATGTTTATTGCCGAAAACATTAAGTTACATAAATGGGTAGGCTACTTTTCCTGTTAAAGGGAACATTCATTATTATCGATGATTTCTTTTCAATATAGCCTATCAATATTTTTGATTTACTTCACGATCCGTATTCCTTCTATTTTAATAGCCTAAACATACCAAATTACGTTCATGTTATCTTAACTAAGTTTAGGTTATTAACTTAAAAAATTGGCAAGCTAGAGTTTAAGGGTAACTTACAGTTTCTTAACTGGGCTATGCTAATATCGATTGAAAATGTCGATTCAATTAAACTTAGTAGACCTAAACCTTCATTCACTTTTGTTTAACTAGGCCTGTATCAATTATAAAATGAAACAGGTTATAACCTTACCTAGCCAACCAAACTTCCTGTCAATGAAAAAATTGAATGAAGGAATACTACGTTAAGTAGGCCTAGGCCTAATCAACTCAATATTTTCAATCAATATTAGCGTAGGGCCTAGGCCAGTTAAGAAACTGTATCCGAGTTCATGGACAGACACATTAAAGCTTATGAAAAAACATCATCTTAGGTCTCCTAAGACTGACACTGACACTGAACCTTAAACCAACCTAACCGCTTCTTAACCCGAGGGTGTCTTGAATCTTGATCAAACCGACACACTCACACTGACAGTTTAAGTAGACACTTACTTACTTAGAGCTTAGCTTAGACGACAGAGCAACAGAGAGGCCGCACTAAAGTGATAACAACTAGCCTACTCACTGTAGTGACAATATTGATATTTGATATGATGAGTGACAAGGAATATGAAGGAATTCACTTTGCACTATTAATTCTCTAATCTCTCCTAAGTTAATCTATCCCTGTCGCATCTCGCCTCGATCTCACACAAAAAGTCGGTTCTTGTTGGGACAATTTAAATATTATGGATTTTGAGATTGATTAATGATTAATTTGATTGAAGTAAAAAATCTTGAATCTTGGTACAAACTACCAACAAACACAAAACACAAACTGAAACTACTAAGATGAAAATAACAAATAGAAATAACGATGGCGACGAAAGAAGGTACTAAACAAAATAAAAACAACAGGTGAAATCATAGATATGTTGTATGAAAAGAACATGAACGGTGTTTTCATATAACCATTGATTATATACATTGATTAGATAGTTAATCCATAATATAAACTAGGTTAAAATTCAATGCAGTTGTCTGCTTGCAATATTGAACGAATGAGCGGAGCTATCACATTATTCCAATTTTAATACTTTTTGAATCAATACAACATCAGTACATCTTTTTCTCATAAATGAGATTTATACTTCCAGTATTAAATAGCAATGTTATATTTGGTTCACATCAATGCAATGTATATTTGCAGTATCCAAAGTCAATTATAAGTATCCTACTATCCTACTAATATTATAAATGAGAAAGTTTGGATGTATGGATGTATGTTTGTGACAAGTGAACGCGAAAAATACTGGTCGGATTGGGCTGAAATTTGGCATGATGATAGCTCACATTCCCGATTAACATATAGGTATATTCTTATTTCAAAAATCCTTTCGGGCTCCGCCCCAGTGGCTCTGGAGTTTCCCATGTTAACCTTATGAGAAATGGAATTATTTAATCTTAACAGCTGTTTCAATTAAACAAGTTGGTTCTGTTCTATGATGTTCAATCTGTTCAATAGCATTATTAAAGTCACAAGGATTACCAACAGGGTGCAGCACTATTATTTCTTTTACATTTATGACAACAGCTAATTTGCAACCAAAAGGTGAGCGAGCGTAGCGAACGAACTTCAACCTGGAGGCGAGTTAGCGTAGCGAACGAGCTAACCTGAAGGCAAGTGAGCGCAGCGAACGAGCTCCAACCTAAAGGTGAGTGAGCGTAGCGAACGAGCTCCAAAATAAAGGTGAGTGAGCGTAGCGAACAAACTTCAACCAGGACGTGATTGAGCCATGCGAACGAGATAATCTTGAAAATTAAGAAGTTAAACGGGACAAAGCCCGCGGGTTACAGCTAGTAGTTCTCATAAATTAAATGTATACTTGCAGTACCATACTTATCCAATGTCTGCAATATTAGTTCACATAAACTCAAACTATTAGGTTTTTGGCTGGATAGTAGGTTGACATGGGACAAACATATAAATGAGTTGGAAAGCAGACTTTCCAGAACTGTTTTCCTCTTAAGAAAATTAAAAAAAACTGATCACAGATACATATTTATAGCTGGCCTATTATTATGGCCTCTTCCACAGCTTGATGAGCTTATGGTGTCATTGTCTGGGGACCCGCTTCAGAGACCATGAAAATTCTGATAGTTCAAAAGGCTGCCATAAGAACCATAACGTCCAGCAAAAGACACGAACACTGCTGTAGTAGGCCACTTTTCCGAGCCTTAGGAGTAATGACTATCTACAGCCAATTCATTTATAACTGTCTGTGCAGATCAAGGAAAATATAGATAACCTCAGCTGCAGAAACCAGCTACATCGTTATAATATGTATATTTCACCCAATTTATCGCAGTTAGATGAATTAACGTAAGCATTGAAAGTATCCGTCGATTTCGACGGGTTTCACCAAGTAGTAAAAATATGTTACTTGAACGGATTATAGTAACCAAAATGCAAATAGCAAAATATATATTTCATTTTTAACCAAGTCAGTAAATGTTTGTACCACTACCACAAGTTTGGGTCTGACTTAGGGGAGGTACGAATGAGGCATTTAGTTCAAAATTCCTCCGTGAACAGCGCTGTAGTAGAGAGCACTTTGGCAATGAAGGTTTACTAATCGCAAAAATAGTTCTGTTCATAAAATAAAATTATAAATGTCTCAAATTCAATTTTATAATTTTTTAATTGTAAAATTAAACTATCATAACCTAACCGAACTAACCAAACTTGCTGATAAAGAAATAATATAACAAAAGTTTAGTAATCGGAAAAATAATTCTGTTTATTAAATAAAACTAGAATTTGCTCGATTAAAATTTTATAATGACTTAATAATAAAATTAAACTGTAATAACCGAACCAAACCAACCAAACTTGCTGATGATAAAAAAATCTTGGACAAAAAGCTAATGCTACCAGCAGGATTCGAACCCGGGACCTACAGATTATCAGCCCGGTACGCTAACCATTAGACCACCGAGGCCGACGGCTACCGTCCGTTTTCTTACGGTAATGGCGTTCCCTCAGCTAATAAGAAGCCCACAGCTGTCATCGTAGCCTCTTCTATACCTCCCCTGAGTAAATACCCACAAGTTTTCTTAAATTGCATTGCAACGAAAATAATAACACAAACACAGCCACAGCAATTAAATTATCCAGCTGATCATAATGTAAACAAATAATGTCCTTCATAAGGACAAAACTTATGAACTTAGGTTAGGAACTTTAAAAGCTACTGGCATGGATAAAATATGCTTAATATTATAAAATTACTAGCATTATAAAATAACTTATGTTTTATCTATGCTACTGGCCACTATTGCAGAGCCCATGGGAATTTAAAAAAATGTAAGATCAGTTTGCAAATCTACACACCTAGACAAACATTTTGGTGTATATATGTGGAGTTAAATCGTAAAACAAATAAGCCTTATGTTTACAAAGTGGTATGTAGCGTTTAATAATATAGACTACTTTAAGATTAGACCATTTTTACAATAATTATTGTCATGCAAATACAAGATTGCTTAATTTACAATAACAACGCTATCTTAACACAAATGAAATATTACATACGAAATGGTACTTGAATTAGCATGATCGGATCGGACTATGGGAACGGTTTTATGGGTTAAAAATGTTTTTCCACTTTTGACTCTTTTATGATATCAACTTTCACAATTTCTTTCCAACCCATTTTGTAGAGATTAAATAAAGAAAAAATAATTTGAATAAAATGAAGCGTTGGTTTGGAAAGAAATTGCTAAATTTTATGTTTTTTTGGGTCAAAAATGGGAAAAACCTATTTTTACCCCATAAAACCCCCCGTAAACACCTGTTCCCATAGTCCGATCATGCTGGTTCGCGAACTCGTTCAAGTTTATCCCGCATTACACCTTCAAACCAAATTTTATCAAAATCGGACAAAAATTACTCAAGTTATCGTGCGGATGGACACACATATATATACGAATGATGTTTTTGGTCTCTGGGGGACATCAAAATGAAAAAGTAAATCGGTCCCGGGCCTAGGTCTTACCATGAGACCTACGGTAATAGCTACTTCCCTATAGGGAAATTCGCCAAAAGAACGTAGTTGTGTAGATGACGACACAGAACACAGAATGATATTAGTTTCACAATAGGTGTACAGTACTGTACAATAATTTGCAGGCACCATGATTATGGAATTTTGAACCGAATCGAGGGTTCTGGAATATGACTCATGACGAAAATTGCACGTCACATGACCATTCACCTGCCGCCATATAAATAGCTGACAGCTGTTTTCAGCATCAGTTCAGAACAAAGGTCCATTCCGACTTGTGTTGTGTTTGTGTTTTTATTGATACGTCTTTTCCTGTTATTAGTCAAGTGTTGTCAGTTCTTTGTTGTTTGTGATTTCAATTTTTGAAGGATTTAAAAAGGACCAAGAGCTATCTAATTTTGGTATGTAAACCATTATGTTTAATGTTACATTCTATAGATATCTAAATTTACGATTATTTTTATTACTAGCCTACAGTATTGCACAATATTAACATTACATATTGCACAAGGCGCATCTTACCGATACAGTTAACGGTTACCATTTTGGCTTTGATCGATAGTAGGTGGTAGATATTAACTTTTTAAGTTGTGACATTGATTTGAAACCGAACTTATCTAGGCAGGCCTACTTCTACTTACTAATTGACGATCGGTATTTTCCTGAGTGTTAGGTAATTTCGAGTTTTGAAGTGTCATTTGTTTTGCTAAATAAGTTACTTAACTAGGCTTAATGTAATGTAGGCCTAATTTACTGTTCACAATTAGTTATTTTTTACTATAGGCCTATCTTGAAATTTTGCTCTCTTTATGATAATAATCGATAATCAAAGTAACTTTAGGCTCTATCCATTTAAATGGCATTGGATAAACACAGGCGTATCTAACACAACTAAGTAAACTTATTGCACAATAAGATATCTATAACTTAAGTTGTGGAAACAGGAAATAAATTAAACTTTATTGGGATTCATGAGTTATAAAAAAAGGCTAATGAATAGTAGTTATAATAAATCTTTTGAATCTCTCTCGCACTTTAGTATCTGTCCTACACTCATTTGAATGAATATAACTTATCGATCAATATATATCGATTATTTAATTTGTTATATCAAGTTTGGTTAGTTAGGTTAACCTTATTATTACCTTATTACCTTATTACCTTATTACCTCCTCTTCGTCTCTGACCAGCCAGGGCCGGATAGACAGCGTCAAACTTTTATAAAATAAAAACTTTCTTTAATAATAAAACATATATTTAAAACTTAAGCTTTAGATGGCGGTGGGTGGTCAAGAGTTGGTGCTTCCTCAAAATACTCGTCAACTGAGTAGAACGGGTTTTGCAGGAGGAGCTCCTTGATTCTTTCCTTGAATATTTTCGGCTCTAGCTCTCTCAGGTGGAGTGGCAGGGCATTAAACATATGTACAGCAACTGCAGGGAAGCTATCTCTTGTCAGGGACAGTCTATACCGCTGGGTATTGAGCTTCTGTGCTCCTCTAATGTTGTAAGAGTGGAGCTGGCCTCGGAGTTCAAAATTGCTCAGGTTGGTTTTAATGTGTACAACACAGGCAAGGATGTACTGGTTATAGACTGTGAAGACGTTTAGTTCTGAACAAGCGACCGCCTCAGTAGGATCTTGCCCCCTGCCCAGCAGGGTTGTATCGTCCGCAAAGAGTAGAGTATCTCTATCCCAACCTAGGTCGTTCATCAGTATCAGGAAGAGAGTGGGGCCAACTATTGAGCCCTGCGGAACTCCGAACTTCACATCGGCTGGGGAGGACAGTGCGCCCTGCACTGCTACCATCTGACTTCTACCTTCTAAGTAGGATTTAAAGGTCTGGAGGGCAACTCCGCCAACTCCATAATAGCCGAGCTTCTCAAGCAATATGTCGTGGGAGACAATGTCGAAGGCTTTTGACAGGTCGCAAAGGACCAGAGCCATTGACTGTCTATTTTCAAAGGAGTCCAAAACCTCACTAATCAAGGAGACGAGGGCTGTTGTTGTAGATCTCGACTTCCGAAACCCGTGTTGGGATGCTGTAAAGTAGTGATTTACTTCAAAATGGTCAACAATCTGTCTCTGTACAATCTTCTCCACAGTCGGGATTATTGAGATTGGCCGATAACTTGAGGTAAGGTTTGCGTCCCCCTTTTTGAAAACAGGTATAGTCCTTGAGATTTTAAGGCAGTCTGGAAAAAGTCCCACCCGCAGACACCTGTTTATCACTTCAGACAGAGGCAGTGATATTTCATTTATAACAGACTTGAGAATCCAAGGTGAGATTCCGTAGATATCTGGACTTCTTGAGTTGGAGAAAGATTTAACTATTTTAATTACTTCCTCTTGCGTAGTAGGATTCCATTCCTCCAAAGGGGTCAGGGGCTGCACCTGGACTCTGATTTCTCCGCTTCGGTTTCCAGCGGCTTTTCTGCTCAGTTCTTCAGTTATGTCTTTAACTGAGTTGACAAAGAACTGGTTGTAGTCATCTGGACTAGAAAGTTTGTTGACTACTTCATTTTTCTTCCTCGAGTCATTTATCACTGACCATGCTGCCTTACATTGGTTTAGTGAACTCTGGATGTGTACTACAGTTGCCCTTTTTTTGGCCTCATTTACCTGACATTTATAATTACGCTTCGTTTTCAGATACAGAGAGTAAAGTTTGTCCCTTGCATTAGGAGATTGCTCGGCCTTATATCTATCAAAGATCAGTTTTGTAAAAGCTCTGACCCTGCCCAGCTCAGGTGTATACCAGTCCTTGGCAATGCATGCGTTACCCCTACTTCTTTGCTTTGGCTGCGATTTAGGCTTGGCTTTATTTAAGAGCGGAAAAAAGAAATTGAACACTTCCAGCAGTTTACTGTGAAAAGCTTGAAAAGAGGACGCTGGGTCTGGGTCGTCCAGGACCAGAGCCCAGTCTATTTTACTTAAGGCTTCCTTAAACTGAGGCAGCAGTTGGTCACTCACATTTCTCTTATAAAATACATAATTGTCATGCCATGGTATAGAAGATAAATTACTCACCAAAGCTGTCTTCTTTACACTCATCAGCACTGGCAGATGGTCGGCAATCAGCGCAAAAGGTACCTCCACACTATAATCCCAGACATCGAGGTTTGAGGCAATCGAGTCTATACATCTATCTCCTCTGGTGGGCACACGATTTGTGATGAACAAACCCTGTCCACGAAGTACGGTTTCCAGGTCCTCGGATAGTGCTGAGGGCATGTTCAAGGCAATATTTAAGTCACCACCTAGCACAATGTCACCACTTTGTCTATTTATGGAGCTGAGGCATTTATCTAGGGTATCAAGAAAAATATCTATGTCGCCGCTTGGTGGCCTATAAATGGATACAATGACCAAATTGTGATCCAGCAATTCTACACCACATACTTCAATATGCATCTCAAAACAAAATTGAGTTAGGTCAAGTGGTTTAAAATTTATATCTTGTTTAATGTACATCATCACACCACCATGGATATGATTCTTTCTATAATAACCAGTAGCAAAAGTCATGTTCTGAATTTCCCTGTAAAATTCTACTTCATTTAATACTAACCAGTGTTCACTTATACCTAGTACATCAAGTGATTTATCCTCAGCGAACAGAGATATTAGGTTTAGTTTATTTCGCAAGCACTGGACATTGACAAAAGCTAGATTGAGGTTAGGCCTAGGCCTAGATGGTTGTGGAGTAGATAGGGATGAGATGTGGTTTACTGGTAACAGTCTGGTTTGATCTGCGTGGGCCTGTGATTGGACCTCTGTCTTCTGAATAAAAAACGCTTTAGCGTGAGGTGTTGCGGCCAAAGCGAACTATCAAGCAGAGTTGCCTTCTGTTCAAAAAGTACCCCTAATTTAAAACTACAATTTAAGCCCTTACTTTCTAGTTTTGGGCTTAAATTGTAGTTAACCTATCCTAACTAACCGAATTAAATAATCGATTATCGAATAATCTATATATCGATATTTTTAATATAAGTTATATAATCAATAGGCCCACAGTAATAAATATTTTTAATATATTATATTATCGATATGGAAAAACTATCATAGTTATCTAAAACCGTGGAATAGGCCTATTTGATGATCTTTGCTTTTCAGGGAAAAACAATCATTGTCGTGTTGGCCATGTGTTGGCACTACTGTTCACATAGAAGTCATAATAAGATAAAAAAAATAAACATTATATTAAATAATTTAATTAGGCTAGGCCTACTTAATATATTTTTTTACAACTTTGTACAATGTAAAATACAATGTACAATGTACAATCTAACAAACAATTTGTACAATGTTGTAGCCTACATAGTCAGATAACTATGACCGTTGTTGCATTGCAAGTTGTGCATTTGATTGGGTTTAATTTTTTTTTTATTATGAAAAAGAAAATAATTTTCAAAATTAGGTCTAGTAACTTAAAGATTAAGTTATGTACAAATATGTACTTATTCACTACCGGTACCACTTTACGTGTCCTGCACTTATTTAAAATATAGTTTTAGATTCCTTAACACTGAGTAAACCTTGAAAATATTGTTTAAATGTTAAAGTTTGTTTTTGTGACTAATTTGTTAAGGCCTCTGCTCTCTAGCCTGGAGGAGGTGTTGTGTATTGAGTGTTTGAATCTAAGGCCGCGGCTCCACTTGCCGTAGATTGCCGCGCTGCAAATTGTAGCTGCTGGTCAGTTGAAGAAATGGGAAGGCAGCGATCAAACGAAGTAGGGCCTAATACAGTAGGCCTAGTGATTGGAGAAACAAATACGTGAAAGCATTCAATTTGTTTTTAAATGCAGCAGTCATAAAATTGTTATGATTATTAGACCTATAATGAAAAGCTCCTAATGGCTGTTTTTAGATTATTATTAATAGGTACAACAAAAACTCATGAAACTCATTGATGTTCAGCGTACATTGGTTACTTAGAAATATTACTTCTGAGAGTAAATTAGTGCAATAAAATTTAAATGGAAATAGAATAGAATTAGAGATAAAATGACCATTTAAAGTAGAGTAATACAACACACCGTGGATTGTTAAAGCGATGGTTCACTGTAGGCCTATAAAATTAATGAGTTAAAATTCAGAAAAATTAAATTACCTTAATGTCACTGAAAGCCTTTCCTCTACTCCAATTGCTTCTCTTAGTTTGGTATCCTTCGTCTTCAAACGTGTTGATACTGCTATTAAGTAATCAAAAGCGTTTTGGGACATTCGATAATATAAAAAAAAATACTTGTCTGAATACTTTGGTAGCCTAGTTTAGTATGCAAAGTGTGGAACATCCCTTCGAACTTTCTGTTGCTTAATATTGGATGGATCCACCATTTTCGCTGCTGTGATAGGCGTCGTTTTGATAAAAGTACATTGATAACAACACTATGAATGTTAATTCGCGGCCTAATCCAGGGCCAAGTTTACCTCGGCGCTACACTAAACTGCTAGTGGAGCCACGATGCATGTGAGGACGCTGCAGATTGTAGTTCGTACTCTGCTGCTAGTGGAGCCACCAACTGTAGCGTGTAGCGCGCTTCAATTTGCAGCGCGACAATTTACGGCAAGTGGAGCCGCAGCCTAATCTGGACACGTCTAGTTATCAACTCGTGAGGAGCCAACCTGCCTAGAGCCCCAACTAAAATAAATGGTGGATGGTTTGGGCAGAAGTTGGCGGGATGGAATGCATTCTTCATGAGCTGCACCTCAAATCAGGCATTTTGCAACTCTGCCCAATCTTACTGTCTATGTATCCACTGTTTTTAGCTAAGTTGGATTATTTATGTACATAAGATGAGTATAAGGCATTCAAAAATGGAATGATATAATTTATTATCATAGCTCAAAATATTTAAGTTAGGCCAAGAGTTTTCCTTTGGTCTTGCATTTTTTTTTCAAAATCTTACTTGTAATGTATTTATTTCCAGATTTGGTCAAATTTTATCAGCATGTTAAACATGTCAGACGCAGTGTCATTCAAGGTATATTTGAAGCGAGATGGCAAAGACGTTGAAGTGAGAAGATTTGGAGTTGATGGAGGAGCTGCTACAAGTTACATGTACCTTCATGGTAAAATATGCTCAGTGTTTCCCCAAATCGAGGGATTGCTCTACCAAGTGTTTTGGAGAGGTAAGTTTATTAGAATTTGATTTATTAACAATCTAGCTTATCATAGCGCTTTAGGCCATTGTAGATTGTAGCTATGTTGGGCTCATGAGGGCTGTTCTACGTCTCACAGTACCTTAAGAGAAATTGTGCAATATTCCAAAGATTGAACAAAATATTATTTTAGTACATTGAGACACTGAGCCAAGCCATATCCATATATCCCAAAGTACCCATCAACCTTTGAGAAAACTAAAAGTCACACTCCCATAAACCATATTCATAAAGCCTATTTAAAATGTTGGTCATGACAAGAAACCTTGCGCAAAACTATACATTATTTCATAAATTGACCTTTAAGGTCGTAATTCCTTTTTAAAGGGAACTTTCCATATACCTAAATGTTAAAAATACCCCAGCTGTACTTATTTGTTTGTTATTCTTTCAATTTATTACCTTACTAGCAGAGTACGTAATACACCATCCTTTGCACGGGGTTTGCATATAATTATAAAATGCTTATTGCGGTTGTACTCAAGCTTTGCGTTTGCAATGGGGGAGGACACAGTTTGATAAAATTTGCTTCTTTAAATTTACGTTATACTATAGTATTACACATCTACTGTAACCATAATGTTCTACCACTTCACCTAACCCTCCGAGTGTTAAGCGTCGCGTAATCGGTGTTGATAACGGACATATATGTATATGTCCGTTATATATGTATATGAATTTGAACATATGGTGTTTTTGGCCTCTAGGGACCTCAAAACGAAAAAGTAAATCAGTCCCGGGTCCAGATCTTACCATGAGTACTATGGTAATAGCTTATTCCCTATTATGGGAAATTCGCTAAAAGTGGGCCCAATACTGAGCCTTCAGTTGTTAATGTTAAAATAAATTATTGACATTTTAAATTTTATTAGTTTTGGTTTGTAACTTAGTTTAATCGAGAATAATTGTTAGGCTATTAGAAAGAGTTTATAATTTTACTAGATATCAGTAAGCTAAGCTCAAATTTACACAAATAGTACTTAACTAGTGTACACGTTGCTCAAATTCGAGCAATTGCAAAGTATTACAGGAGTTATTTCAAAACGAATAACAGTTATTTTTACAATGAGTTTAAAAGAGGCAACTCAAAGATTATCGGTGTGTAACTCAGACCATTATCTTCGTTATTGATAAACCTAAAGCATTCCGGCCAGTTTTCTTATTCTCAAAATGCCTCGCTGTACAGGCAACACAGGTCATTGATTGAGGGCCAATTGAGCACGAAAAGTCGTTTTGGAGTTTTAGGGCGCATTTGTAACCTAATAGTTGAGATTGTCCAGGGTCAGGTGCTGACTGTGATCAGTTAAGCCGATGGCTTTACAACAACACAAAACAGAGCAAACAGAGGCAGTTCCAACTACTGGTAGGGGTTGGATATATTATATTTGTTTCTTTATTCTATTACGTGCCACTGTTCTGTAGCTGCGGTCGTTATCACGATTACGCCTCCTAACTATGTTTCGTTGTCGTCGCGTCGGAGGCATTTAAAAGAAAAAAACAAGAAATAAACAAATTATAGGTACACAAAATAACGATAAATGCACAATTTTAAGTTACAATCATGCTAACACGATACGTCATAGCGGCACAAAACAACGATAAATACACAAATTTAAGATACAACCACGATCCGTCTTGGGGGTTTATTACACAAACTCAAATAGTAAATAAATGTACTCAATGCGTTTCATTGAATTGAAAAATAAATAGAAGCAATTAAATTATACAGCTGATCAAACTGTACAGCTGTAAACAATTATGTCCTCCATAAGGATAACATGGGAACTTTAAAATCCACTGGGGCAGAGCCCAAGGGACTTTTTCAAAAATGTAAGGCCAGTTTGCAAATCTACGCGACACGCTCTTTCCAATGAGACGTCAATGGATAAAATCGGTTAAGAAATGGCGGAGGAGTTCAACCGACAAAGTTTCATGTAGTGTATTAATTATATAGATTAAAATTAATTGCACGAACTACCTATCAAAATTATGCTAAATGCTAAATTTATCACATTTTGTGAAATAGATTTCTGATACTTTTCATGTCCGATCGCTTTCAAACAAATTAGGCTACACTGGTAGTATTGTCATTTTGTGCTTCAGATAACATAACTTAATTAGTTAGGAATAAATTCACAAGAGTCTCAAAATTGAATCCACAAAATACAGTAGTATGGATGTTTATGTCTGGGTGTGGTGCATGTATAGATAATGTAAACCATCTTCAAAACTTTGAGGTATGTGTTAGGCTTCAGTTTGATGACAAATTTAACAGAAGAAAATCATAATTTGTGTCTGTATTTTTTTGTGTTTGCATTAAAATGTTGTAGGTTGGTGGGTTTTAAATATAATATTTTAACAATCATTAATTGTTCTATTTATTTTTACAGACAGTGAAAATGATTACATCAGATTAGGATCAGATGAAGAATTAATTGAGGCACTGACTTCTTCTACACAACAGCCTGTTAAAATTTATGTTCAAATTATGAACAATAACTCAGCGGGTGAGTATTTAGAATGGTTATTTACTAAATCTTGTTTGAAAGGGCAATTCTTTTATGATATGATTCGCTATCTTGAAAATAATTGGGAAATCTGTGTTTCGGTAGTATTATAGGTGCATCTACATAGAAATCTCTTAGAAAATCTTATTTATATAGGGGGTGATGATCCTACCATTAAATAGTTATTTGTGCAACTAGTGAGCAAAGGGAGCAATTGACTCACTCGAGAGAAATCCTTACTCACGAGCCGTAGGCGAGTGAGGAATGGTTTCTCGAGTGAGGCAATTGAACTTTGCACTCGAGTTGCACATTATATTTTTCCTACAGTTACCATAAAACAAATAAATTGGTGAAGAAATAACATTTAATGTGAAGTGACAAATACAACAGTACAACAGCTGACCAGCTGATTTACAGCCAGTGCTGCCAACGTATTTCGCGCGCATACGACCTTGTCTGCATGTTACGCGCTCACTATTTCGTGCCTTCACGTTGCAAATCTGGAGTGAGACAAAGTAATTAGAATAAGTAATGTTAACATTGTCTCACTGATGAGTGAATTGGCCACTTTGCTTTCTCAAATCAGTGAGAGAACATGTACATTGTTAGGTAACTGTAGGAAAATGAACATTTTCTGAATGCTTAGGTGGTTAATATTTATAAATAAATCATACATTTCCCTTTTAAAAATCTATTAACTGATGGTCTAATTAATCCAGTTAATAGGTGAGTCGGTGGCTCAGTTGGTAGCGTAGCGGACTTCTGGTCGTAGGCAGCGATGTTGTGGGTTCGGATTCTGGTCACTGCCACAAACATTTTATCAGTACATTTCACCTTCGTACTGTACCGGCTCACCCTTTGCTTTGCTGGATACGTTCCACACACAGATCTTTAGTCTATGTGGACGGGCAAATGCAAGGTTAAAAAAAAGCCGCCAACCTCTTTAAAAAAAATTAAATAAATAATCCATGTTTGTCGTCATCATCATCGTCCCTCCCGATCACAGTGCCGACCAGTTGGAACTAATCCTGCCCTCTTAAAATTGCAAATTAAATTTAACGAGCTATTGGCCCGTCCTACGTACAGGAATCGGAGCAGTCAATTAAAAACTGAATATGATTCAGAACAGCTAGTTTACAACTTGGTGGCCGATTCACACACACTGGCTGTGAGGACAGTAGCTACATACCACCTTCGACTGAATACTATCACTTACCGTACCTTATTTTACCACCTTGGCCACTGAAACCTCTAAAATGATCCTGGCCTCCTGGCTCTTCTATCCCCTGCTATTTCTAAGGAAGATACCAGTCTGAAGATGTCTTTCATTACTTGGTCTTCCAAGTGGTCGTCTACCTTGTAGTACTCCTTGGAATACATTTTTAAAAGTTGAAGTATCTTCTCTCCGCCGTGCAAAGCCTGCCCAGCCCATCCGAAATCCGAGCCTTTTGGTCTACTTTTGGAATGTACCCCTTTATCAAGTTCCTGGATCATACAGTACTACTGGGATAGTTATGATATGGTATGGATCGATTTTGGTTTCTACTGACATCCTGCAGCTTACTGGTCAGTTTTCTGGAGACCTACTACACCGGTTGACATTTACATTACGATTAAAATGTGTACTGTATGCAGTCATACTTATATTCAATCATCTAGGAAAGGATGTATCAACACGTAAACCACTTATATATTAAAGGATTTAGCACTTATACATAGACGGATTGCATTTATGACAAAACTTGATTATACGTTTAAAATGTTTAGTTCAAAATTACACAATCTCCTGGTAACATAGATCTTTTACGGTAGGAAATAAACTGCGCATTTTAAAGTGAAATGGTGTGTAGGCAAACTCTGAAGATCAATATTTTTGTATACAAACAACTTGTAACATAAACATTTCAATGACAGTTAGAAACCAGCTGTTAGTTAAACCACCACTAAAACGACTTAAACTCGTCCGTCGGCTGCTAGACTTTTTGAAAATTAAAACTTAATTTCTAAAAAACTTAAAACCTAAACTAAAATTATGGCTTCGACATTCCCTAGTTCTCAAAATTATCTTTCTTTTAACACAAAAATCATTAAAATCCGTCAAGTGGTTGATTCAGAATCGTGAAATAAAAAAACCCTGTCACGTTTTAATATATAGGATTCTAGCCAAATTTTGGGAATACGTTTTTTCTGAAAATTTTAGGACGAGTCTATCTCCATTTCCAAGTTTATTAAGAACCTTGCATAGAAATGATAAAAGTTGATGACATTTTTTATTTCAGATGGAGCTGCAGCTTCTGCCAGCAGTGAGCCACACACTGGCGTGACTTGTGACGGATGTGACAACCCTGTGGTCGGGTTCAGATACAAATGTGTCACCTGTCCTGACTTTGATCTGTGCACCTGCTGTGAGAACAACGGTCTCCACGCAGAACACTTCATGCTGCGGATGCCTAAACCAATAAATATGTTTATGGTATGTCACTTTACCTAGACATCTACGTACTTGTGAACATAATAATATGAATGCAGAGTTTGATCAGAGTAGATTTATGTAGACTTTTTACTGACTGTGATAAACTGTTTGTTACTTTAAAGTTTTGATTGAGTTTAGTTGAGTTGTAGCATACTTTTGGATACTAAAGCTGACATATCTTCAAATGGACTAGATGTAAGAATGTTTTATTATATCAGAACTTGGTTTAATGAGCCTTGTGCTGTGTACAGTCATAAGCTGTATTTTCTCCCATCAATTGTTTATTACTGTGATAGGTAGTTGATATTAATATATGTTATAGGGTACAATAAGTCATTATTTCATATTGTTTTGATTAAAAAAAGTTCAAAGCCCCATAACATTCTGTTCAGCTCTACACATTCATGCCAAATTTCATAAAAAAAAGACTTTTACTAAAAACCATGGTTTGACCTATTTTGATTAAAATTAATACAGTAAGTATTTTACAGTCCATATAATTCTAAACAAAATGGTATAACATGCATTGCTGTAAAAATTACGGTTCAAACGTTATTGCAACTTTTGTGATTTTCCCCATAAAATATCTTAGTTACTAGCTAATAGGAGAAGTGTCAGGATTGCTGATACCGCTTAGAAAATTTCCTATTTGAAAATAGTCCAGTATTAGAATGGAATATCTGTCTTGAACCTTTTATTCTTCTAGGTAAGCTAAAACTCTGTCCCTCTCCATCAACAAATCCTTAATAAGGTGTCTACAGCTCCTGAACATCCCTGTTCATGATAGTTCTGTTGAATCACAGACCTCATTATACATTTTTATTAAATTCCAATTACATTTCGACAAAAAAATAACCTGTGTGTTCTCCACATAATTATAATTAATATTTATAACTTTTTTGCAGCATCATCCCAAGTTCATCCGCAAGATGTTCTCTCATCCACACAAGTTCCACAAGCGCCACGGCTGGAGCCGCCCAACCCCACCTCCGCGGTGTGGTGATGCTCAAAGCGGGCTTGGTCAATGTCCATTTACCCGGGAACCTGCAGGCATGACCGACATGTTTGACTTCAGTGCTCTCATGGAGTTCATTGAGAGTCTAGGAGTTGGTAACAGGCAAGAGAGTGGTAACTGTGCGGACTCTGCTTCCGCAGCTACTGCAACTGCAGCTTCAGCAGCAACTGCAGCTCCACCAGCAACTGCAGCTCCAGCAGCTGACGCACCGCATACTTCTGTTCCGGGGAGCTCAAAATCGCAAGAACAACCTAGGCAGAATGAGAGAGGAAGGAGAACTTCGGCTACAGAATATTTGAACAACATCGGACAAATGGTGGCTGCCATTCTGGACCCACTGGGTAAGTAATCTTTCAACAAATGTTCATGTGATGCACTAGGATTTTTTTTATCTATGAGTAGATTTCAATGTCCAAGATTCTTTTAAATTTCAAACCCAAATTTAGGGGATGGCCTTAAGTAAAGTAATTTATTTTCTAAAATGTGGAAAAAATTAACTCAATTGTGAAAAGTAAACTGTGATGCTTTGGTTTAACAATATTTTAACGCAATGTAACGTAGCAATTAATAAATTACAAATTTCCATGATCTCTACTCCAACCTAATATTGCTTTATTATATTACCAATTCAATTTAAGGAGTGCTTTCCCCGAGCAGTAACTCAAAATCTTGTTTAAAAATTATCTATTCTAAGTGGTAGTTTTCAACTTATTTCTGCTGTTTCCAAGTAGTGTAGGGTTATACAATACTCCACATTCACCGTGCGGTATGGAGTTGCACATACTGAACATAAGCCTTTTTCATTTTTTCAAATGTTTATTTTAAGCCTTTTTTTCAGCCAAACTAGCTCTCCGCAAAACTTTTAGGACCCAAAATAATCCCTGAACATTTTACATTCTTATGCTCTTTGGCTTCTACTGTATGCGAAGGATTCCAAAATTAAAATCCGAACCAGTACATCAAAATATCAACAGACTAATCTGCCTAATGTACAACAGACTAATGTACCTTACTCTACAAAAGCATAAATTTACAGAAAAGAGTAAAATGTACTGAATGCCTTCTGGGGGGTCACGAGGCCAATAGGGTATTTTTATTCTAACGTCATCTCCCAGAGCACCTGTACTGCACAGTGAACGTAGAGTGGAGATAGTACATGATATAATCTTTACAATTTTGAATAGTTTAAGTCTATCAACAACCTTAGACCTACAAGAAATTATGTATATTAAGTAAGGAGTAATTTCCAAGCTACAATAGCTTTCAGCTTTGTTTAATTGTACTTGGTTAATATTACTAGTAAAGTTTAAAGTTGTACGGAAGAGTCTCACTACTTCAAAAATCTACCTCTTTCGAACTAAAGCTCGGAAATTGTTATTAATTTTTTAAGAGGTAAGTATGAAGCTAACTTGAAATTGAGAACATCTTCTTCTCAGTCATGGTAGAAACGAGAACTTGTTCTGTTGTCACACCAAGTCGTGGAAAAACTGTGAACCATCATCCGGCATCTTCGCAGACGCTTTCTGAGATAGTGGAAACAAAAGTACAGGGGGGTCACAACGAACTGGAAAATTCTTATGTAGTCCTAACAACATTTTCCACGGTCCCCGAGACATCATGATGATCATCTCCTGCGACAGCGGAAAAGATGTGATGAATATCATCCATGATCGGGATGATCGATTATTACAGAAATCTGCTTATTCTGAATTCTGAAGCTAATCTGAATAGGGTTCGGTTTCAATTAGTTTGTAAAAGCGGGATTCTACTGTATAAATATTAATATTGTCACGTTTGGTTTTTGTTTTTTGCAGACTTTTATTGCATGATGTATAAATTAGTGTTTTTAATTTACTTAGCTCTGAGTTTAGTTTTTGCAAAGCCTAATTTTATTCTAGACGTTTTAATTTTTATTCATTGTATTCATAAATGTTTTACTTTTAGTCTTTTAGTAGAATTACTTAGTTAAATTATTAGGATCCTACTTTCAAAATTGAATTCTGATTGACTTTTTGCCATAACACCTACAAATGTGAGTTGGTGGCTCAGTTTGTAGCGTCACAGGCTTAAGGCAGCGATGTCGTGGGTTCGGATCCTGGTCACTGCCACAAACATTTTATCAGTACAGTTCACCTTCGTACTGTATCAGCTCACCCCTTTCTTTGCTGGATACGTTCCACGCACAGATCTGTAGTCTATGTGGATGGGCAAATGCAAGGTTAAAAGAGGCCGCCAACCTTTAAAAACAAAAAACAAAAAATCCTACAAAGTCGATAACCCTTTCAGTGCTAGGCCAATAATTCATATTTTGTAAGACTTTTGTTTGCCTTTCAATTCCATTACCTGTTGTTGAATTTTAACTGTAATGTTGTCACTATTTTATTAATTAGGCTAATTTTCCAAATCAAAATCAAATCAAAATCAAATCAAAAATCACTTTATTCACATATATAAATACAGGAATACATTATCAGAGTAAGAATAGTATTCCCCCGAATGGACTGCAAGTCCGTGCTCGAGGGAAGAGCTCTTACCAGCAGGAAATAAGTTTTGGTTATTGTCCATAGGTCAAAAAAATGTGCACACTGTTTATAAATAATGTGTACATCTGTACTTAATACGTATCAGGAGCTTTTAATAAATGTATATATATGCTATATAAATATATTGTATACTAGAATTAATTAACAATAAACAGCCTTTAGCAACAATAAAAATATTAATCTATGAAGAAAAATTTATTTTGATAGCTATTATGGCGGCGTTTGATGTCAGAGATTAATTTAAATGTAAGGCGAGCGAATTAAAGCCTCTGCAGCCTCTCTTCCCACAGTCATCAGCCACTCACAGACCTTGCTTTTATACACAGCGACACTGCCTGATTCAGCATCAGTTATGTTGGGCGGCAAGTTGCGATAAAGGATGTGAGCTATGTAAAACACGTTATTTTTCAAGGAACTATATGCTAGTTGTGGAGTGCGGTATCCAAAGTTATGCCTGTGCCTAGTGTGATAACTGTGTTGTAAGTTAGAAAAAATAATTTCCTTGTTGTTCTTAATGAAAAGTAATAGTGTTTTGATAAACAATTGTCTAATATTTAAAACTGGGAATTCGGAAAAAAGTAAACTTGTTGAATAATGTTTTGGCCTTTTAAGAATAATTTTGATTAAGGTTTTCTGGGTTACGTGAAGAGGAGCCAATGTGGCAGCAGATACACCGCCCCACGCCAGTATGCCATACTGCAGCACAGACTGCACGTATGCATAGTAAACGTATCTGCAGTGATCAACCGTTAACACACGGCTTAGTTGATAAAAGGCGTAGACCAGTTTCCTCAATCTTTGCTTTACATAGATAATATGAGGAGACCATGTCATCCTTTGATCAATGATCACCCCAAGGTACTTGTATTGGTCCACACGATCGACTGTGTCACATCCGCAGGTATTAGACCACAGATCGCCACATGAATGAAGATAGAGTTTTCTAGGGCCAGGGTCACGAGTTCGAGATAAGAAAACTGGCATGCACTTGGTTTTTGATACATTCAATGTCAATGTGTTATGATCCAGCCAATTTTTTATTTTAAGTAAGTCAGATGCAGCTTGATGGTAGACATCATCCCACGTATTACCCGAGGACACTACCGCTGTGTCGTCAGCAAAAAGAAACAATTTACCATTGACTCTTAATTTAGTAATGTTATTGATATATATTAAAAAGAGAAGAGGGCCTAGGTTACTTCCTTGGACGACACCATAGTCAATGTTAGTGATATCACTATTTTCGCCATTGATAGTAACGAACTGTGATCGACCAGTCAAATAGCTGCGGAACCAGTCAAGTGATGGGTTGTCAACGCCTATCGACTGCAGTTTTGTGATTAATTTATGCCTATCAATAGAATCGAATGCTTTTGCCAAGTCTAAAAAGGTTACAAGCACACGTTTTTTATCATCAATTTTTTCATAAATATGTTTTGAGATATTAAATAAGGCATGGGTAGTGCTTACGTTAGCTCTGAACCCAAACTGTGCGTTGTCAATGATATTATTTTCCTCGAGGTATCTATACAACTGTTGCTTGACACATTTTTCAATTATCTTGGATACCGCACTAAGTAAAGAAATAGGTCTGAAATTTGATATCACATTCTTTGGGCCTGATTTATAGATCGGGATTACTTTGGCGATTTTGTAAGGATTTGGAAAAGTATTAGTTGATATACTTAAATTTACAATGTGAAATAAGGGTTGGTGTAAGACGTCTAGATTATGCTTTATCAGTTTAGAGGAAATGTCATCATACCCAGGTGCCGAGTTTCCTCTGATTTTGGTGACCACGTCTAGTAAATCTTGATGGGTAATTGGTTGCAGTGAGAACTGGGAGTTCACAGCAAAATCAGCATCCTCTATTTCGACATGACCAACAGGCTGCAAAGCCCCGGCTAGCTGGGATCCGACGGAAGCAAAGTATTTGTTAAATTTATCACAGATGGAGGGGACAGTGTCGCTGTGTGCGCCAAATGCGCCGACTGGAAATTTGCATTTGGGATCTGCGCGGCCCGCTACTTCGTTCACTATATTCCAAAATTTCTTTGGATCTCCTTGAGCGTCATTGATTTTATTTTTGTAAAAATCGTATTTTGCCTTTTTTAGTGTAGATTTTAATATGTTTCTGTATCTAACATAGCGCGCACGCAGTCTAGTATTAAAGGGGTGTTTATTGGTTAGTCTACTTAATTTGTCCCGATGACGTATTGATTTTAAGAGACCGTTAGTTATCCACGGTTTTATCTTGAACGTTTTAGCGGTAGTGGTAACGGTAGATGAATTACGTTCAACAATGGTAATAAGTATATCATTAAAGATTTTTGCGGCAGAATGGACATCTATTGATGTATAGATTAGATCCCAGTTTTGAACGAGGAGATCTTGCCTAACATGTTCCCAGTTGATTGATTTTTGAGAGTGGTTGTTTACTCTCGGATTTGTTTTGGCGGTACTTTTAATTTCGAGACAAATACTGTAGTGGTCTGTGACTGAGGTCTGTAGGACGGCTGAGTTGGCTGTAAAGTTGGGCGGAAGTTTGACAAAGTAATGATCTATACACGTGTTACTTATTGGCCTTGTTACTTTGTCTATACACTGGATGAATCCTAGGTCACTCAGTATGTCTAAGTAACGGTCTTCCAAAGAATTTAATTGGGGGCTCAAAATGTCACAGTTGATGTCACCTGCAATTATTTTCATGCTAGAACAATTTGTTGAATTTGTTATATAATCATGTAAGCTATCAATAAAAATTTGCAAAGACGAAGCAGGACTGCGATATATGGCAG